TATTCTGAAATTATGAAAAAAAAGAAAAGCAGTAGGGAAGAGAGAGCACAGTTTTTAAAGAATGATAATTTGCTGTTTCTATTGCCAGCAAATAGTCACATAAAGTGTCAGCAGTTTTTGCATACACATTTTTAGAGAAATACATATTATAAATTAAAACCACACTGTGTAACAACTGTGACTCCTTATCCTTTCTCATAATAGATTTTGGGTAAAAAGAGATTTTCAGTCCATGTTGTTTTATGTGATTGGCAGCTCATAAATTGACAAGGTTTCATAAATGTGGCCTGCAATATCCATGTCTTTTATTCTGTTTTTGCAGTTACTATTATGTAAAATTAGAATATTATTAGAAAACTCCCTAGTAGATTAGTAAGTAAAAAGTTGCTTTATGCCCTATTAAGCATTTTAATTAATTGCTGAAAGGCATGTTTTATATCTACACTATGCTTGCCACAGTGTTAGGATCTAAATAAATCATATACTAGTGACGGGGAGTTACCTGCATGTGTGCTTGTGGTTGTTGGGGATATGGTCGTACAGTGGTGGCATCTTTTTGGAAAACAACTTGACGATATATATTAAGAATCTTAAAAATATTTGTATTCTTTGATCTTTTATAATTCCACTTCTAAAAGTCTATCCTAAGGACATAATTAAAAGAGTGGTTAAAAATTTATGGACAAAGATATTCATAGCCGCATTATCTCTAATAGCAAAAAATAAAATTACACATATACACATGCATATAAAAAGGACCCTAACTAACCAAAAGAGAATGGTTAAATAGATTAAAATACTGTATTTTCATTCAGTAGGGTATCTGTAGGTATTATAAATTATGTTTATGAAGAATTTTAATAAGGAAAAATGACAATTAGATAATAAATGAATAAAGATGTTAAACTATCATGTTTGTGATGTCAATTATATAAATACAATATGCATATAAATGAAAAGGATTAGAAAGAAGTGCATCACAATGTTGACATATTGTTTGTAGGTGCTGGGGTTGTTGTATTCCCTTCTCTTGGGTTAATAGCTCTGTAGAGGAAACTAGGGCTGTCATCTCCCTTGCCAAAGTAAATTTTTGTGGGTGAGAAAAATGATATACATGTTAAGGCCACTGACCTCTGTGTAAGAGATGGGGGGAGCCTTGTTTAGTTTTGGTAAACTTTGCCAAACAAAATTGTGATCATTTGTCAGAGCAATTCAGGGAAAATTTTTATATACATGTATACATATTATATATTTTTGACTATATTATAATTATATATAGATTATGTATATATTGGGTTTTCTAATAACTTAGTGGTCAAATAGCAATAACACTAGTATCATTGAGGGTTTCTTTTTTTAAGAAAGTACTTTTGAAAATGATATAGCAGTGAATGATTTTCCAGTAGGGCTAATGAGAATACTCTGATTTCTACACATCTAGCTCTGTGTGTGTTCAGTGGTGTTTACTTGTGAGGTTGGACTTGGGTGTTGTTGGCAGTGATTACTATAATGTCATGCTGACTGACCAATATATCAATGGAATACAACTCCTTGTTCTCATTATCACAGTTCTCTGGCAAACTAAGCAAGGTTGCCATGGATAAATATAAATCATGCCAACAAATATTTGGTAAATACCTTTTATGGTCATAGGTTCTTTCGAGAATCAACTAGGAGTATGTCAGGAGTAACCTAATGGAAAGGTAGACTTAATATAGGAGCTTGCTGTATGATAGTATCTAGAGAGCAGTCATGAGCTACGGAACTTTAAAGGTCAGCTGTGAAGTAATTCAGTTGGTCGTGTATTAGGGTTCAAGTAGACTCTAAAAGTTGTTTCATTGCTTTTTAATAAATAAATAAAGAAAGATTTGGCAAGAGGAAGAAACAATCCATCTTCTCCTTGCTCTCTCAGGGAAATGTCTCCTGTTATCAGGTTTGGGGGATGTTTACTTGGCCTTGACTGCTCACCAGTGCTGTGTCAGCTCCTAGCCCTGAACCAAGTGAGAGTTCAAATAAACCAAAAAGTTTTCACATAGTTGGATTCTTCTGCAGTGAGTGGTGCCAGTATGGCCTCTTTCAATTTTTAAAAGAGATCGGCAAGAAAAAATCTGAAAGGCAGTCTATGATCTGCTAACCATGACTTGGATAAAGTTGAGTTTGCAACTTTGAGACTTTGGGTAACCTGGCATAAGATGAGCGGGTTCTGGGAGATACTGTTTGATTTATTAAAAGCCATACTTAGGGTGCCTTGCTTTGTATTACTATCTAATTTTATTAATGGTTAGGAAAAACCTTTCTTTGCATAAATAAAAATGCTCATAAAATGCAAACCTTTCTTTGCATAAATAAAATGCTCATTTCTAAGATATCATTAATATAGCACTGTCATTAAATTTTGTTGTATTTCAGAGTCATGGGTCTATCATCCAGCTCTGACTAAGCAGGAATGTTGGGCAGAATTTGCAGACACAGTAATCTAGTCTAGCATAATGCCTGGTTTATAGTAGGCACTTACTGTATTTTTGTTGATTTTTAACATTATACATATGAATGAATAAATGAGTGAAGGAACAAATAATATAGCTAGAATATGCGGAATTCAGATAAGATGGCAGTTCTTATTGAATACTACTTTTAAAGGTACTTCTGGGAACTGCATTATATTAAGGTATTTTACTCATTTTAAGAAACATTTATGAAATGCCCACTTTCTGCTAGGCATTAGAATTTTACGAGGTTAAAATGATGTTCTTGCCTTCAAAGAAGTCACAGCTATGTAACCAGATAAGTTACACAACAGAGTAATGAGTGCAACAATAGATACATGTCCAAGGTATAGAGGTAGCATAGAATAGAAATAATTAACCATATCTGAAGGATGGCATGGATGTTGTTAATTTTACTAATTTTGTTTATCTTGTTTATTAACCATCTGTCCTACTTGAATACAGGTATAAATTTTTGTCTGAGTTACTTATTTTTTTTGTTTGTTTGTTTGTTTTTTTTTTTTTTTTGAGACAGAGTCTCGCTTTGTTGCCCAGGCTAGAGTGAGTGCCATGGCATCAGCCTAGCTCACAGCAACCTCAAACTCCTGGCTCAAGCAATCCTCCTGCCTCAGCCTCCCAAGTAGCTGGGACTACAGGCATTTGCCACCATGCCCGGCTAATTTTTTGTATATATATTAGTTGGCCGATTAATTTCTTTCTATCCATAGCAGAGACGGGGTCTCGCTCTTGCTCAGGATGGTTTCGAACTCCTGACCTCGAGCAATCCGCCCGCCTCGGCCTCCCAGAGAGCTAGGATTACAGGCGTGAGCCACCACGCCCGGCCTGAGTTACTTATTTTTATTTATATATTTTTAATTGCTGAATCTCCAGCTTCTAAAATAGTACCTATGATAAGCATTCAATAAATATTTGTTGCATGAATGAATGATTTTTGATAGTTATTGCCAAATTACCTTCAAAAAGAACTTACTGATTGTATTTCCATCAACAGTATAATAGTGATTTTGACCCACGTCTTTGCCAGTGCTAAGTTTTGTCTGAAATTTAAAAAATTTTGCTAAATGTGTCATACTATCTCCATATTAAAAATATCATGCCCCTCCCACTACCATTGGTGTTCAGCAATTCTGTTTTCTGCTGCCCTTGTATAGAAAGGAGTGGTCTTCACCTGCCTCCTATGTCTCCTCCTCCCTTCTCATTCTACCCTGATCCCACCACCACATTCTTGTTTTCTCTCTGCTGAAACCACTGTTGTCACTACCCACCTGTGATCTCCACTGGGCCTTCCTGATGATGCCTCATCAGTGTTTGAGACCGTCGATCACTCTTCTAGAAATATTTTTCATTTTCTCCCACACAGCATTCTCCTGGATTCCATCCCATTTCATTGACTGCATTTTCTGCATCTCCATTGCTGCTTTCTTCTCCTCTATTCAGTCTCTAAGGCTGGACTATCCCAAGGCTCTTCCCTGGTCTCTCTTCTCTCCTCCTCTCCTCAATCCTCTAAACATACTTTCCTTAGAGAGGGCTCAGCTAGTGGCGAGGCTTTTGTACGTCTAAAATCGACATTTCCAGCGCAACTCTCCCCTCGGCTGCAGACTCACACGTGCCACTGTGAACTGGGCAGCAATACTTGGATAGCTAATAGATATCCCAGTCTCAGCTTCGCCAGAACAGAACTGCTGGCTACTCCCTCCTGCATCTATCTCTCCTGTCCAGTTAGCCACATTTCAGTGAACAGAGATATTACTTATTTTGTTTCATCAAAAACCAAGAGTTATCCTTGACTCCTCTTTATCCCACACTCCATATCCAAGCCTTCAGCACATCCAGTTGGTTCTACCTTTAGACCATATTGTGAATCCAACTATTTTCACCACTTCCACGGTTGACGTGCTGCTCTGACCCACTGTGTCCTCGTCTGTCCCCTGGATCGTTACAGTACCTCCTGCCTGGTCTCCTTCTTCCATTCCTGCCCCATGCCAGTCTCCACCAGCCAATCATCTCTTTAAAGCATAAATGAGATTATATCACACCCCTTCTCCAAGTCTTCCAAGGGCTTGCTATTGCATTTGGAATAAATCCCTGCAGTCTTTAGCTTGGCCTTGAAAGCTGGGTATAGCCTGGCCTAGCCTTCCTCTCTGACCTGACTTCATCCTTTCCTGCTCTCTTTCTGGCTCATTCCACTCTCATCAAAGTGTCTGGCTCAACCCTATCACAGGCTTGCCCTTGGTATTCTTTCTGTTTGAACAGTCCGTGAGCCTGAGTGCCTTATCTGAAAAAAGAGAAGAAAACCAGTAGTGCCTATCTCATCATGTTGTTGTGAATTGGGAAGATGTGGATCAGTAAGTGCTTTGTATTTGTCATAATCTATGAAGAACTTTCGAAATAGATGGCAGTGCCATATTTACAATTCCAACTGTTCAAGTGAAAGATGCAGTGATTTTTGTGGTTTAGATTTTTTTTTCTTTTTTCTTTTTAAATGTTTCTCAGTGAGCCAAGGCCTGAGTTTCGCTCTAGAAATTTGTCCTGCCTGCTTCTGTAGTTTGACGCTATGCCTCCAGATCTTGGACCCTTATGGATACCGCTGTATGTTACTCTTACAATACTGTGCTCTTCTGTGAGTTCAGGTAAGAATAGAAGAATGGGGGGGGAGTTGGTTGAAGCCTTTCATCATCTTAATGATGAAATGTAATATAAGGAATGAGTTTTACCTTTAGTGCATTACTGATAATAGTGGTTTCTTTCTTTCTTTCTTTTTCTTTTTTTTTTTTTTTTGTTGAGACAGGGTCTCCCTCTTTTGTCTGGGATAGAGCCATCACAGTTTACATTAACCTCAAACTCCTGGGCTCAAGTGATCTTCCCATCCTAGCCTCCTGACTAGCTGGGACTACAGAGGCAGGCCACCACAGTCAGCTAAATTTTCTATCTTTTTTTATAGAGACAGGGTCTCGCCGTGTTGCTCAGGCTGCTCTTGAACTCCTGACCTCAAGCCATCCTCCTGTCTTGGCCTCCCAAAGTGCTAGGATTATAGGCATTAGCCACCATGCCCAGCTGATAATAGTGGTTTCTAAAGATGTTTCTAAGGTTTGTTTGATCAGCTATATGATTTTAAAGATTGATTAATTAAGCAATTTAAGGATCTCTTTGGGTTGGGCACAGTTGCTCATACCTGTAATCCTAGCACTCTGGGAAGCTGAGGCAGGAGATCACGTGAGGGCAGGAGTTCAAGACCAGCCTGAGCAAGAGCGAGACCCCATCTTTACTAAAAATAGAAAAAATTAGCTGTGCGTAGTGGCATGCGCCTGTAGTCCCAGCTACTCAGGAGGCTGAGGCAGGAGGATTGCTTGAGCCTAGGAATTGGAGGTTGTAGTGAGCTAAGATGATGCCGCTACAGTCTAGCCAGGGTGAAAAAGTATGACTGTCTCTACAAAAAAAAGGATCTCTTAGTAGTCCTTGAGCATTAGGAGGCCATCTCATTCTTCTTGTAATTTATTCATTTTGTTCCCTTAAAAATAAATATTTTCTGATCACACTTTTTTCAATAAGGGGATATGTTGTAAATTTTTGAGTTGGAAATGATAACAGGAATAAAATGCTAAATATATACCACTAAAGAGAAGTTTTAGAATCAGCATGGTACAATATTCAATTTGGAGTGAGAGAACTTGTTTCAAATCCCAAGTGTGCCACTTTCTTTCATGGCCTTGCCTAATTTATTGTGTGGCTCTTTGGGTTACTGAAAAGCTTAAATGTGTTTATTGTTAAATGTATATATAAACTTCAAGCCTAATACATAGGCCACATGTACTTCTTTTTATTTTAGAGTTACATAAAAATGGATATGTAAGTGTATACAAATACAGTGATGTATATTCATTGAGTAATATTTATATATATATATAAAATCCATTAAAATATTATATAACTACATTAGATTTGGTAAGGCAAAAATTGATTTAGTAGGTTTATTTGTTTGAGTTTTGCTAAACAGCTCCCCCGATTCAGCCAAGAGAGGCATGTCCCTTAATCTTCATTTCTGATTAAATATCCTATAAAAGTAGATTCAGTAATTTATTGATTTTTTTCCTTATAAGTATTTTTTTCTACAAGATGAATAATATTCTTGCTCCCCTCTTTCCTTTGGATGAGAGGAGAATCTGTATTGATACATTAGTGCAAGAACACCCCCGGTCCAAGTTCCTGGAAGAACAGAGATAACAAATGAATTTCAAACACCAAATAAAAACAATAAGCCTTATATTGAAGGTGGAATAGAGTTTGTATTTCAGTTGTAGCTTCCTAACTTTTTGTTTCTGTTTTCTTAAAAGTTGAACATGATTTTTTACGGTAGGGATTTTCAGGTTCTTAATTTCCATTTTTGCTAGTCACTTTGTTAAAAAAGTGATTTGTTATTTCTCATTAATAGAATTTATATTATATCTGATTTATGCCATAAGCATTTTATCTCTTCTACCCTAATTGTTAAGTCCTAAGTTAACATGTTGCCCTTCTTCCTTCCCCAAAATAGGCTTATAAGAATTTTGCTAAAACTTTTACAAGTATCAAAAGCCATAACATATACAGATGAAATAAGAGCTTACCTTTAGTTATAAAGATGCAGATGAAATGTGTTTAATGTACTCTTCTTTCTCTCTCCCTTTCTCTTTCCCACTGTCACCCTCTCCCCATTTCTTTGCACATGGGGAATGTTCCCTTGTAGACTTGGCACCTTATTTTATTTCTGGGCCACTCTCTGCTATCCAGAAACTTGGTGGACCTGTAGTACTACATTGTACTGCTAAACCTGTGACTGCTCATATCTCATGGTTGCATAATGGAAAAAGATTCGATGGAAACATGGAACATATTCAGATTCATGAGGGGACTTTGACGATTTCTTCTCTTAGCCCCTCCCTTTCGGGTTCCTACCAGTGCATCGTTAACAACAGCGTTGGTGCAATTGTGAGTGGCCCTGCAACAGTATCCACTGCAAGTGAGTTTGATTTTGTCTTTGTTATACACGAAATTACTGTTAGAACTTACATTTTTGCATAGTGGGAAGAGTACAGGCTTTGGTGTGAGACATGTAGTGCTCTTGTCCCAGCCTTGACTCTGTATAATTTGGGGGAAATGTACTTGAATCTCTGTTAGTCAGACCTACTGTCTTCTTCTGTAACAATGGTATCAAAAGGGTTTTTCTCTCTCTTTTTTTTCCCCCAAGTTACACAGGACAGTTTTCTAATGTGAATTCTGGACAATTTCCTTTTAAGTATTTAAAAGTCCTCACCATCAATAACAGCAAAAGAGCTGCTGTCTACTTTGACACTCAGTTATTTTGTGCAGTCCTTTGTCTTTCTTTCACATCTAATTGTTGTACTTGCCTTGATTATTGAGCGATTTTAATTTATTTAATTGAAACAAGGCTAAAGAAGCAGGAACATAATAACTGACTGTAAAGAAAGGAATGTTGATATTGAACTTATGGAAAATCTGGAATGCGTGGTTTTTCTTAGTAAATTTGAGCTAATCTGCCTTTCAAACGGTGATGGCTTCCAGTATAGTCTTTGTAAGGTAAACCCTATTTACAGAACAGAACTGTATTCCCCGGGAGTAGTGAGTTTGTCATAACTGAGAAGAGAAAATGTTTTTGTAGAGCTGTGACCCATGGGCAGCTCCGGCACACCCTCGAGAGCTGAGTCCCTAGTGGCAGGCCGCCGAGTGCGGTGGGCACTGGCCACGGTAAGGACCCTTCCTGAAGGGAGATGTGGAGACCGAGTTAGGGTGTCCAGATAACCTAAATGATTTATTGCTTTGTTTTTTGATGTCCTGGATTCATTCCCAGCAACCATTTTACTGCGATGTGAGCAGCTACAATTATGCTTTGTAGTTCTCCTAGACATTTTAGGAGCAGTTAGTATTTTTATGGTCTCCTGGAAGCACTGACTTACGAAAAAGGGTGCCATGACTTAGATTCTCAACCCTCAGCCGTGAATCTCTGCCCCAGCTGCTTTCTGAGATGAAAAGATCATGTTGTCTTATGGACTGGGATTAGAGGCCACAAAAGGCCATTCTGCAGATGTTGTTTCTAATTTTTAAATTTCTTTTGGGAAATATAATTCGAATTTGCATCTGTCTATCTACTTATTTATTGTAGTTCTTGGTGATTTTGGTTCATCCACAAAGCATGTTATTACAGCAGAAGAAAAAAATACTGGTTTCATCGGCTGCAGGGTACCAGAGAGTAACCCCAAAGCTGAGGTGCGCTATAAAATCCGGGGAAAATGGCTGAAACATTCCACAGGTAAGACCTTTTATGAAAGCCAATGGTGCACACAGAACTAATGCTCATTAAATATTAAGCTCTGTGTGCTAGAGACTGTGGATACAAGAACGTATAAGATATTAATATATTGTCTCTGCTCTCAGCCATCAAGTGGAGAAGGCTAAAAGGAAGGGTTACAATATATAAGTGATTACAACCCCTCCCCTGAGGGCTTGCTCCCTCAATTCATTCAGGTCCTACTAAGATATCTCTTCCTTAGAGAAGACTGCCTTCATGGCCCTATCTAAAATAAATGCCCTGCCACTCTGTCGTCTTTATTCAGCTTCATTTTTCTTCATAGAATTGATCACACCTGCCACTGTATTTCACATATTTTAGTTTGCTTGTTTATTATGTACCACTCTCTTTGCCACTCCCTGGCCCCCACTAGAATGCTGGCTGCATGAATACAGGGGCTTTTGTCTGCTTTTTTCCGTGCTGTATCACTTGTGCCTGGGCCATTGTTAGCAGAAAATAGCACTTGATATATATTAGCTGAAAAAAGAAAATGAGCGAGTATACAATGAATGAGTGCAATGCGACTAGTGCTCTAGGTAGAGGTCGCCCAGGCACTAGCTGTGGTCATTGTGTCTTTGAGCATTTCTTGTACTTTCGGGTTCTTCCTCTGTTAATGCAATGTTTCTGCTAGGCTTAATTTTGTTCTGCTAGTACTGTTGACTTTTTTTTTCTTTTCTGCTTCTACTTTCCCTTTCTTTCATTTAATGAAATTTCCTTGACTGCTTCTCTGTTGCTAGTCTCATGGCTAAATTTAAAGCATGACTGTTAAGCTTTGTTAGTTTAGTTGTGGTGTTCATCATAGAGGGAGAGGCCTAACTGAACTTGCTTCCTTCCTCAGAGAATTACTTAATCCTTCCGTCAGGGAATCTTCAGATTTTGAATGTATCCTTAGAGGACAAGGGATCATACAAATGTGCAGTTTATAATCCTGTCACACATGAATTAAAAGTCGAACCCATTGGCCGAAAGCTCCTTGTCAGTCGTAAGTATTTGGGAGAATAATGGTAACTAGAAAAAGGAAGAGTTCTCAAAAGTATTCCCCATAAAAAGTTGGGAAATGAGAGTTGGTTGTTTTTCCATATCCTGTTTATTTATCAAAAGAAAGCCTTACCAAAAAAAAAAAAAAGTAAATATGTCAATGCATTATAGACTAACACTGTACATGTTTTAAAATGATAACAATTTATAGTAGGGAATTTTGATCAAGGTGACAGAGTGAATACATATGGGGAATTTTGCCCTTCATTCAAACAAGAAGAAATTATAGAGGAAATGCAACTTTACCATAGTGGTAATTAAATTGGTGGTTAACTATACATTATGGGGAAAAAAAATCTGTCCTCTTTCTTTCAGATATAGTAAAAATCATTGCTGATTTTTAGATTACAGTGTTTGAGTTGAAGAAGCACCAGCAATCAGGGTACAATAGAGGAGTGGCTCCTGAATTTGAGAACTCTACATTTCCAAACTGCTAAGGGCTATAGAATCTTTTAATTTTAATCCTCAACTAAGAAGGATTTAGCTCCCAAATAGGGCCTTATACTATAAAGAGGATTAAATGGGAATGTAGGGACACGCAGCTTTGCTAAGGAAGGATTGGACACAGACACTTCCTAATCATCTGGTGTCTTTTCCTTTCCTAGGCCCTTCTTCAAACGATGTTCACATTCTTCACCCCGCCCGTTCGCAGGCATTAGCTGTGCCTTCCCGTAGCCCTGTAACCCTGGAGTGTGTGGTGAGTGGGGTCCCTGCTTCTCAAGTGCACTGGTTGAAGGATGGGCAGGATGTCATGCTAGGAAGCACCTGGAGAAGGCTGTATTCTCATCTTGCCACAGATCGCATTGGCCCAGTGGACTCCGGAAACTATTCCTGCGTGGCCAGGAGTAGGTCTGGAGACGTGAGGCACGTGACGTACACGGTTACTGTGCTTGGTAAGACGTTGCTTAGCAAATGTTTTCTTGAAATGAAACTTTTTTCTGATCTAAAGGATGTTTGAAGGAAAGATCTATTTATGAACAAAAATGAAATTGGAATTATCTAGAAATGTCTACATACGTAGCCAGAACACCTTCATTTTTCTAAAGGAGTGCTGAATTAGGCTGCATTTCCGGGTCTCACAGAACATCTCACATGGAATGTTCTTGGGAACCTAAACCCCAACCTAGTTATATAATACAGAGCTTATTCTCCCTTCTTCATGACCTAGAAAAAAGAAAATGGAAATCAGTAGAATGTAAGATTCTGGGCTATCGCTGTGTATAGTGTCCAGTAGTTGTCACTAAGACGGAGTGCAGACTAGAAAATGTCATCTCAAAGAGAAATCGATGTTTCATTTTATTTTCCCTTTTGGGATGGTTTCACCTATGTTTGGCTCATAAAATTTGCATTATTTCCACTCACATTTCTATAAATACTCTTTATTTCAAAGCTATCCTTTTCAACCAGCTACCTATCTCACAGTCGTGTAGCAGTAGAGAATGTTTTCCTTTATCAAAACATATTTTTATGAAAACCAGAAAAAATGGGTAGGAAGTGGTTTCATAGTAAACATAATTTTTGTAAGCCCTATGCATGTGTTTGTTTACAACCATGGCCTGATGTATGTTAGAAACACTAGAATTAATGTAAGTATATGGTAGATGGGCTTTAAAATTCAATGATAATCAGGCCTGGATTAATATGCATAATCATTTAATTTAGGCATATGCTACAGATGTCAATAAGTGACTTACTTTTTTGGGTAAAAATAGATTTCATAGATCCTAAAAGAAGGTGTGTTTTCCTCCTTTTTATTTACACTGTACATTAAAGCAAAGTTAACAATAAAAATAATTTAACCTCTAAAGAAACTCTTCTGTTTTGGCTCTTATTTAGTGTGAAATCCAGGCAAACTGTTTATTTCATAACTAATCACCTGAAATAAGTGCTAGGAGAAACCCCCAGGATTAGAAACTATTTGTGTATGTGTGTGTGTCTGTGGGTTTTTGGGGAGTTAAGTGGGTGGAGCCAGCTATGAAAGGCTTATTAGTAACATATGGTTCATCCTATTAGTGGAAAGTTAAAATGCATTCCTAATTTTTTCTTGGTGATCACAGCAGACAGAAGAATGTGAACAAACAACTTGATTTCAACTAAGTTATTGGTAGAGAGAAGATTTTATATGACTTGTGTGATAATTTTAAAAGTACATCTTGAGGGCTAGAGTTTAATTTATATGTTTTATTTTCAGAACATGCTTCAATTTCTAAAGGACTGCAGGATCATATAGTGTCTCTGGGTGCCACGGTGTACTTTACCTGTGATGTTCATGGGAACCCATCCCCCAACCGCACCTGGTTTCATAATGCTCAGCCCATTCGTCCTTCCCCACGACATCTAACTGCGGGAAACGGACTGAAAATCAGTGGAGTTACTATGGAAGATACTGGCCTGTATCAGTGTGTGGCAGATAATGGGATTGGATTTATGCAGTCTACTGGAAGACTTGAAATTGAAAAAGGTATGCTTTTAGTTCATGTAATCATAGGAAATTTTACTTTACTGATGAGGGGCTTTTGTTGTGGTTAAAAATGAAATCATTGTTGCTGAAAGAAAGTTACTCTATCATCATGTAAGTCAAAAGGCTACACTTAAGGACCTATAAGGCCACATGTGGCCTTAAGATCGCAGGTTTCACACCCCTGGACTAGTATCTTATTGATGGCTGTTTCTTGTCTTTTGCCATTACGAATAGCTCTATAGTGAATGCCCTTCTACAAAGAGTATTTTGCACATGTGTGAGTACTTATAAAAGAAATTTGTAGGAAGGAATATGTAGAATAAAACCATATATGTGTTGCTAATTTTGGTAGATATTACTGAATTAATCTTTGTAATTATTACCACTTTATACTCCCACCAACAAGGTATAACACTGCCTGTATCCTCATACCCTCACAACATAAGGTATTGTCAATGTTTTTTATCTTTGCCAGTCTGATAAGTAAAAAAAAAAAGTACCTCTTAATCTATATTTCTTTTATTATAAGTGATATTGGGCATCTTTTCATGTGTTTTTGAGCCATTTGAATTTGCATTCCTGTGTATTGACTGTTTATTATCTTTTGCCCTTTTAAAAATTAGGTTATTGGTCTTTTTTCTTATTGATTTATGAGAATTTCTTATATAATAGGGAAATTGATTATTGGTCTATGTATGAGTTATAAATATTTCAAATTTCAGAGAATCTGCATGATACAGATCACTGTACTTTTCTGAACTTAGTGTGATTTATTTAAAGGTTAATAATAAAAACATAATTTTTTAAAAAAAACTGACATGTACTTGGAAATTTAAAATTATTCTCAATAGTTGGGCCAGAAAAGAAAATTATAATGCAAATTTAAGATTCTTTGAACTGACTGATGATGAAAATACTGCAGATCAAGTTTTGTGAGAGAGACAGCCAAAACAGGATTTAGAGGGAAATTTATAGCCTTAACTAGTAACACTGAAAATTAGTGAGTGAAGTAAAAGAATATCAGAATAGATTCACAGAAAGCAGAAGAAAGAAGATAATAAAAATAAGGGCAGAAAGCAATTGAATAGAAAATAAAGATGAAACATAGAGGATCAATAAAGATAGAAATTTATTCTTTTGTGAAGTCTAATAAAATGGACAAATCTTTGGCAAAATTGATCATGAGAAAAGAAAGCAGGTACAAATAAACAATATTAGCAATAAATGGGGTGATAAGTACAAGTCTTACAGAAATTAAAAATAACAAGATTATGATAAACTTTATGATCATAATTTACAAATATAGACAGAAATAGACAAATTCTGAGGAAAAATTTAACTTAGCAATACTGACTTAAAAGAAATAAAAAGCCTGAATAGTCCTACACCTATCAGAGAAATTGAATTAGGAATTAAAAATCTTCCCACAAAGAAAACATCAGGCCAGATGGTTTTATGGAGGTTCTACTAACCTTGCAAGTAACAGACCATTCCAAATATCATACAGACTCTTCCAGAGAAGAGGAAAACATGGAAACTCTCCAGTCTTGATTCTAAAAATCAAAAAAGGGTGGTATAAGAAAGGAAAATCAAAGGCCAATCTGGTTTATGAACATGGATGTAAAAATCCTAAATAAAATATTAGTAAGCTAGGAATGAATAAAAATAAATAATATATCTTTTTGTTGTTGTTGTTTTTTGTGAGACAGAGTCTCACTCTGTTGCCTGGGCTAGAGTGCAGTGGCATCAGCCTAGCTCACAGTAACTTCAAATTACTGGGCTCAAGCAATCCTCCTGCCTCAGCCTCCTGGGTAGCTGGGACTACAGGCATGCGCCACCATGCCCAAGCTAATTTTTTCTATATATTTTTAGTTTTCCAGCTAATTTCTTTCTATTTTTAGTAGAGACGGGGTCTCACTCTTGCTCAGGCTGGTTTCGAACTCCTGACCTTGAGTGATCCTCCTGCCTTGGCCTCCCAGAGCACTAGGATTATAGGTGTGAGCCACCGCACCCGGCCAAGATAATATATGTTGACCAAGAAGTTATCCTGGGAGTCCAACAGAAAATTTAAAGTGTTATTCACCCTACTTAATGAATAAAGGAGAAAAGAAATATGATTATCTCACTAGAGGCAGAAATACATTGGTCATTCAGTATCCATGTTAGACAATCTTAGAAAAGTAGAAATAGAAGGGAACTTTCTTAACTTGATAGAGTATCTAACAAGAACTTATAGGAAACATCATTTTTAATGGTGAAATGTGAGAAGTACTCCCTTTAACATCTCTTGCAGTCATCATTGCATGGGAGGTCCTAACCAGCACAAGATGATGTAGAAAGAAATAAGAAAGAAAGAACCCAAATTGTTATTAATTTACAACTGATATGATTTTTAACATAGAATATCCCAAATAGTTTGCTGGCTATTATTATTATATATCTTATTATTAGAAGTAATAAGAACATTTAACAAGGTAGCTGGGTAAAGACCAATGAATAAAAATCAGTTGCCTTTCTATATACCAGCAACAAACAGAAAATATAATTTAAAAATCACCTTTTTACTTTAGCAACCATAAAGCAGACCCAGTTACATAGGAAGATATACCATTTCATGGATACCAAAATTCAGTATTATGCAGTTATCTGGCCTTTCAAAAAATTTTCTGTAGATTCATGAAATTCCAATTAAAATCCCATCATACTATTTTGAGGATCTCAACAAATTTATATGGACGATTTATGGAGGCCCAAGAATAGCTAGGCACTCTAGAAGAAGAAGAAAAGAACATTGGAGACTTGATTTAAATATATGAAAAATCTGTAGTAATTAAGAAAGTCTTGTATTGGTGCAAGAACAAGTAGACTCTTGGAACATGATAGGGACTGCCAAAAAGACGTTTGCATGTGGGGACCTGACTGAGCTGGTGTTGTGCATCATTGGTGGGGATATCCGCTTTAAGTTTTGATGTGGGATAGTAGATTATCAGAACAGAGAAAGCAGTGAAGTTAAATTTCAAACTCACATTGCATCTAAAGATAAATTCCCAGTGGACTAAAGACCTAAATGTGAAAGAAAGAAAAACTGCAAAAATTGTAATAGAATATTGAAGAATATATGATCTGTGGGTAAAATTTTTAATAAGACATTTTAAAAGGTGCTAATTAAGAAAGATGTGACTACATTGAAATGAAAACATCTTCATTATTAAAAGATACCATTAAAAACTGAAAAAAAAGCGATGAACTAGGAGGAGATACTAGTAGCATACATAACTAAACAAAAGAACAGTATACAAAGAACTCTTAATGATTACAAAAAAGATAAATGACCCAGTAGAAAAACTGACAAAAGGCATTTCACAGAGGAGGAAAAATATAAATAGCACATCATCGCATGAAAAAGATGTGCAACCTCATTAGTGCTCAGGAAAATGCAGGTTCTGACCAGTTAAATAGCATTTTACATGCAGTAGCTTGGCAGAAACCCAGAAATCTGATATCAGTGGTTGGTTTTGTCAGACATGGGATGCAGGACTGGAGGAAAAGAAAGACATCCAGAGGAAATGTCATGTGTGTTGATCAATATGCCATTGTAGGCGCACTTAAAAATACCTCAGATAATGCCAGTACCAAAAGGAAAGACTTGCTGCCACTTTAATTTAGCAACAAAAATATTGTTTCTAAACAATAAGAAATTGGTAAGAAATATATGCATCAACTTGTATTTAGAGTAGGTTTTTTCTCCCAGGCTTTTTATAATCAGATTCCTGGCCCCCACTCCTATCCGAACTGACCATTTTCTTGAAGGAAATAGTTTTATATTTTATACTTTTTTCATGTTAGAGTCTGAGGTTTTAGCTTTATATGTTCTGTATTTACAGTGGTCAAATATCATAGTATACTTATTGGAAAGCTCTCAAAAGATTTCTTTATGTACATTCCTCTCTTTCTGAAGGACAGGAAATCTATGTGGGAAATACCTAGGAATCCACAGCCATGAAAAATTCTACTTTTTGTTGACAGTTTTGCTCGGTGAAAGTTGAGAGGGGAACTAACAAGGAGGGAGATATCTTTGTTTTTGTCATTACTATCATGTCTATGCAATCGGATGAAATTATTTGCCTTATAGATACTATAACGTTCTTAATTTTTTGTATGTGAATTACTTTTTGATAGACGGTGGATTCAAGCCAGCTATAATCACAGCACCAGCTAGTGCAAAGGTGGTCGATGGAGCCTTTGTCACTTTGTCCTGCAATGCCACGGGGGTGCCAGTGCCAGCCATTCGCTGGTATGACAGCCATGGGTTGATAGCCAGCCATCCGTCTCAAGTCCTTAGATCTAAATCCCAGAAACCACACTTACTTAGACCGGGGGGCCCAGACCCGGAGCCCGTCCTCTTTGTCACGTCCTGGGCTGGCTCAAGCGTGCTTCATCTTCAGGCTGCTGCTCAAGAACGTGCTGGGAGGTACGTCTGTGAGGCTGTGAATGAGCACGGCTCCGCGCAGGCAGAAGCGTTTCTCACAGTTGGTGAGTGGCCATTACTATGTTTTCTCAGTTGAATAATTTCTTTTTATAATAGAGGAAAAAGTGATTAGAAATGTTATTTTAATGAATATAACAATCTCTAAATGTATTTTTTTCCTGATGACAGTGAAATATAGAAATGTATTTGTTGGTGTTTGGCCTCATGTAAATCAGACGAAACTTGGTCTGCATTTCTGGTATGTTTGTTAAACTCGTCATATAGAAAGCTCTCCTTTCAGAGCAAGCTCAAAATATAATCTGTCTTTTGGGAGTAATGCTTTTGGTTTTCTAAGCTACTGAAAATGGCATTACAGACATTTTTAAGGTGAGCACTTGGTAACTACAATATTCAAAGTCTAAAAGTTGACTTTCATTGAGAAGGTAGAGTCGTAGCACTGTCCCGTATAACCTGTATGTATATATTCCCCCATTTTATCCAAAGTTGTTTTTCTAACGGGATGTATAATATTAATTCTTTATATTTTACTGATTTTTGTTGCTGATGACTTAAACATTTTATATGGTTTTTGAAGTACTGTTATGTAGAATATCAATATTAATGAAAATGACCTCAAATTTGACTTAATGCAAATTTAGACCTTACATCAGTAGGTTTTGAGAGCAGTGTTCCCCAACAGCTAGTCAGCTTGCAAGGCAGATATCAAAGGCAGTACTGCGTTTAGTCTTGGTGCTCTGGTCCTCTGCCTTAAAGGGCCTCCTGTAGCCCTCTTCTGCCTGGGTCCTCAGAGCCCCTTACCCAGAGCCTGGAGCCCACCTTTCTCCTTCTAGATGGCAGGTCTAGTGCTCCAGAATTTCCTGCTTTAATTAGTTTGTAGTCTGGTTCCACACAGGTCTTTTTTCCTGGCCCATCCTCCACAGTGTGGGCCACACCACTGGTGTGTGGGCACCTGTAGCCAGAGCAGTGGCACAGGAGGGATGGTTGAGATAGAAAGGGTTTGGATGTGTACACTGCTGTTTCCCTTTGCCTGCAAACAAAGACTTTCTCACTCTGGATGAAGCTGGAGGCTGGGAGGCCAGTGGGAAAGGCCAAAGACTTCCATTCATGCCCTTGTGCTACTCCCAGAGTATTAGAGGTAGGATGATGTGGAGGTTAAGCATGCAGGCTGCAGCAGAGTCCTGGCTATGCCATGAGGGGATCTGCAGCCAGGACAAATTACTGAACTTCTCTATGCTTATTTCCTCATTTGTGTAACAGGTATTATGAAGATGCCCTACTCATAGGGTTGATGTGAGAATCAAGTTAATACCTTTAAAGTATCTAGCACTTGAAAGCTTTCCATTAAATATGAAATATTAGGCTATGATTATTGCTATCTAGTTATTATTAAATTGTAAGATCCCTTGTGGTGGTGTTTAGGGAAAGAAGAAGTAGTTACTGATTTCTAGTAACCTTAAAAATCCTCAAATTAAGAAAGGAGTTGAATGTTGCATAAATTTATACATATATATGAATATGCATGTATGTATGTGTGTTTATGTATCTATTCTTCTAGGCAAAAATAAGAATGGCTTTGCTCAAAATTGGTAGCTGCACAGCAGGTGTAATGCAGGAGCTCCTTGGGTAGAATTTAGGTGAACTGATTGTTTTATGTAAATTTGCGGTATAGGGAGACATAGATGTCATAGTCATAGATGATGGAACTAGATATTTGTCTAACTTTCTTACTTTAAATATGAGAAATCTGAAGCTCTTAGAAGTTACATAAACTAACTTGTTTAGATCTTTAGGATTGCCCTCCACTCTAGGATTTTATGTCTTGATAAATACCACTTTTATGTGTAGTAACATCATCAGCTGTATTCCACCTGAGTGGTCCTGCATTGCCTCTTTTATATACTCTATAATAATTATGAAAAACCAACTGAATTCATTAAAACTCAAAAGAGCACCTAACAGCCCACTTCTTTGCCTGGGAATTTAAGCCTTATTAAATTCTAACATACTGACAGCCATTTGCCTTGTTCATTGCGAAGGGGAGAGTAAGCATGGTCAGAGAGAGAGGACTTCCTCCTACCCTTGTGTTCTTTCTAGAGACCTGGGGTTTTTGAGGTCCTGAATGTACAAATATTTGCAGAGTGAGTTGTAACTCTTCAAAACTGTAATGGGAGTTGGTCTGGGTTTCCTAAATAGTTTGGGGTGTGGATGGCTGGCAGGAGAGGTCATAGCGGGAGCATCTTTGACAGATCTGGTTGTACTCCCTGTTTAATTAGTTTCCACTCAGAGTTGCAAAATTCATTTTCATTGCCGTAGTTTTATCAGTCTCTTCTCCAATTGAAAAACATTCTATCTTAAAAAATGCTAGATGTCTATTCTACCCATTTCAGAGTTGTTTTGAAGATACATTGAGATAATATACCTGATAACACTTTTGAAAGTATTGTTATAGTCTTTTTTGTTTGTTTGTTTTTAGATACATCTATAATTTTATTATAAAACCAAACTTTTGGCATTAGTTGGTTACAGTGATAGCAAGATGTCAGTGTGGCATAGCAGTTCTGTCGTAACAATTGTATTCCCTGCTTACGGAACCAAACCTCCAGTTACCTCATATCCATGACACATAAGTGAACTGCAATCATTACTGCTACAAATCCTGATGCAGATATCATTTAGGGAGGGTTGATGCTAAGGGATTAGAGTAAATATTGATAAGACGACAAAAGTTCCTTTATAGGAATTTTCTGCCCCTCCCTTCCAATTACTTTGCTTTAAAAGAATCAAGTTACTCAGAGCCAGTCTTAATAGCAGCAGCACCCACGGAGCACCCCACTTAGTTCTTGTTAAAAAGCAATACCTGCACAATGTGTGTTTTACACACCACAGGCAAAGGGAATAGACCACTCTAGTTTTAAGCTCCTGCATTGAAGTCTCTTAAAAAAATAAAAGCATTCCATCAAGTTCTTCTGGATGGTGTTATTGCTGTATGTTTGTTGGTGGGTCACTTTCTGTGCTGTGTTTGCTTTGAAGGGATCTTCCGACATATCTCCAATACTCCTTTCTTTTTTTTTTTTTTTTTTTTGGAGACAGAGTCTCGCTTTCTTGCCTAGGCTAGAGTGAGTGCCGTGGCGTCAGCCTAGCTCACAGCAACCTCAGACTCCTGGGCTCAAGCGATCCTCCTGCCTCAGCCTCCCGAGTAGCTGGGACTACAGGCACGAGCCACCATGCCCGGCTGATTTTTTTTTTTTATATATTATACATATTAGTTGGCCAATTAATTTCTTTCTATTTTTATGGTAGAGACGGGGTCTCGCTCAGGCTGGTTTTGAACTCCTGACCTTGAGCAATCCGCCCGCCTCGGCCTCCCAGAGTGCTAGGATTACAGGCGTGAGCCACCGCGCCCGGCTCAATACTCCTTTCTTATACTGTCCTTTTCTTTAGCTAAGATTTCACATAACTCTAGTGCTTTATTAAGAATGTCTTCCTTGTTGTCACATTGGTTTTCTAGCATGTCTTCATAGATATCCACAAGAAAGACAATTAGGTAGGGGGAACTGTGACTTGGTTGTAAATCAAGTAATTGACTTAATAGATTAGGATATTTGGAAAGACCCGGTCCTGCAAAATCCCTTAAAGACCCCTATCCTGCAAAATCAAATAGTTCCATGCACTTTCATTATGTGGTACTAGTTTGATCATTTCCAGGGTATACTGGACTTCTCTCTCCAATATAGCACGATCATTGAAGCCAGTGGTGTTTGAAATGACGAAGTATCTTTGGTTCCAGACAGAGTTATTTCTCACATCCTCTTTGAGAAGCTGGTCTACATACTGCAGCTCATTATCCCAAAGTTTAAATTCCTGAATAACCCACTGTCGGTGATGCCAGGGGTGGTAATTCTTTGCATCCTGATTAAGAATATCAGCAATAAACTCAAGCTCCTGAGATGGATCTTTTAGCCATTCCACTAACACTCGCCTATGATGCCAAACTTGATAGTTTTTGGGCTGTTCCTCAATTATTGCAGTGATATAGTTCATTTCCTCATGTAGATCCTTGTGTAGTGACTTTAAGAGAACTCTCCGAAAATGCCACACTGTATAATTGGCTGCATTTAACTCAATAGCATCTTGGGTTAGTTTAAAAGCTCGTTCACTTCTTTCATCACGCTACAGAACAGCTCGGAAGTAATCATACACATCTCTAAATTTTTCACTATAGATGAGCTGGACCACTGGATTGGGACCATCATTCTGTGGCACCGGATCTGTATCAGCCCACTGTGCTCTGTCCCGTGACTCCCAAGCAGCCTGAGAGTGCCGCCCGGCGCTCCGCGTCTCCACCCGGCCCGCGGCCTCGGGAGCGCACGGGGGCGGCGGGCCGCGGAACTTCGGCCGCGAGCGCGGCCCGGGGCGCAGCGCCAAGCCTAGCCAAGGGCTGTCCCTAGTCTTTTAAATTGTATCTAGTATCTTGAAAGTGCCCAGATTATATTACTGGGAACAGAAGAGGAAAGTTAATTGAATCCCTTTTTTAATAACAGTTGTGGAAAGATCTCATTGCATCTTAAATATTATAGAAATGGAATTTTGATACTCATTCAGTGGACAGGCTTCAACATAAACTTTCTCTCAAGCCTCTGTATAAACTGAGGCATGTGGTGTTTAAACTCTTCTACAGCCAAATACCACTTGCCAGGGGTAAACTGTGCAGAAGATGCATGAAACTCCTCATGATAAAAGGTCCTTTACCACCACCCCAAGCTGCAGCTAATTGCTTCCACTTGCTGAATCCATTTCTCTGCATTAGCAGATACCAGCTCACACCCTGAGTGTCAGGGTGTGACACAGTCTGACTCAGACAAACATAGCTGTTCCAGGAGCAATATTGTGAAGTTGTCTCAGTGACCTTAATTAGTTTTTTTCTACATTATTTCCTCATTAGCTTCTTGTTTTCTTTGATGGAAGATGCTTCTGAGACACCCTTTCTGTCTTTTAAACTAACAGAAAACTTACCTTACACTGTTAGTCCCATTTTTTTGTTGGTTCTCTACTAAAGTGCAGTACTTCTCCCCAAAACATGGCCACCTTTTACCAGGACTCTGACTTCATAGTGGAAAAGAAACTATAACGTTGTTTCCTCTGCTCACTTCCTCCACTAAAGGAGTGAAAAATAGGGAGATTTTTTTTGGTTGCAAATATTAATAACACTTTAGAGAAACCAAGTTGTCAATCCTTAGGTTTTATGGTACTGGCAGTATGTTTGTTTTCATAAATTGCTCTCTCATTTTTTTTCACAACAGCACCACTAATGTTCTTTTGACAGCTGTTGACACTTAGTCTCTCAGAACTCTGATTTCCTCATCTGTAAAGTGGGAGTATTACCATCTACCCAAGAGTGTTGTTTTGAGAATTAAATAGGATCATGTTTATTAAATATACAGTATAATGCTTGGTACCTAATATGTGCTCAGTGATTTTCTTTGGATCTATGCAATCTATTTTTTCAGTATAATTAAACTATTTTTACCTTCTTCTGTATATTTGTATGCTGTTAGTAAGTATTAAGCTGTCTGCTTATTTTATCTGTCTTTAGATTTGCGATTTCTTAAGCCAACCTTCAGTTCTATCCAGAAATAGGACTTGGAAATAAGTTAATTCTTCCTCTATCTATGCTGGTCTTGTTGGTTTCATTTCTTCCCTCCGCCTTGAAGCAGACCATTTGCTGTGTTAGGGGTGTGTGTGTTGGGTGGGGCATCTGTTGCTGCATAGCTGATTACCCAAGAGATCACTCCCAGAGCTGCTGGTTTTGAGGCCCCCTGGATTCAGTGTGGGTGGAGACTGCACGTGCATGAAGACTGGGTGGTATTTTTGGAGACTAGCCTCCCAGTGAGTGAGAGCCTAACGCTTGGCCATTTCCTTGCTCTATGTATCACCTTGTTCTCAACAGAATGGGTTATTCCTTGTGTTTCATTTATTAACTGGAGTTGAAGCCAAATGTTCCTCAACTTAAAATCTTCTGAGATTAAACTAGCAAATTGTTCTTGCAGAAGAGGGAATAGTAGAGAACAAGGAAATAGTAGAGAACAAGGAAAAAATAAAGAAGAAGAAATAGGGAAATAGTAGAGAACAAGGAAAAAATAAAAACTTTTAAACCATTGAACTATTGCATCATATAATTGGTTTTTCAAACAACTCATTTGTTCCCCCATGAGCAAACTGCTGCTAGAGGTTAAATGTTTCCATGAATTGTAAAGTGAAATGTTATCTGTTTTGACTTTAAGGGCTCAGATTGTGCCAACAATCAGTGTGGGCAAGAATATCACTAACTAGATAGAAGACACTGAAATGATGAGTTTCTTCAAGCTATCTCTTCTCTCTCTCTCTCCTTCTAGTACCATTTGAAACAAATACAAAAGCAGAAACAGTCACACTTTCCGATGCTACTCACAATGACGAAAGACGTAAAAGAGATGGCTTAGCAACTGGATTGTGGAGCTCATTTCCAGGGAAGACACGTTCGGAATCATCCTCAGAGAAGAGCTCTGGTGGTGGCTCTGTCCCCGATGCTCCCATCATACTGAGCCCCCCGCAGACCCACACACCAGACACCTACCACCTGGTGTGGAGGGCGGGGAAGGATGGCGAACTGCCCATCAGCGCCTACTTTGTGAAGTATCGAAAGGTAATGTCTTCTCATTTATCATCGTTCTCTTCTCACACCTTGACACTGTCTGTATAGCATATACTTATTATCTTTTATGTTTGTGGAATGGTAGAAAACAGAACAAAAGTGTTTCAGAATGGTACATTTGTCAGAGATACCCCACCGATCATGCTGGATTTACCAGCCCTGTGAAAGGAATAAGAATGAAGTATAAATAATTTCCACCCAAATTGGGATTCTAAGAACCCAGTAATGTCTTGACGTTTTTTATAAACCACTTTTAAAACAGTAATGTCTTACCTCCCTAAGATAGTAGAATACAGTTTATTTAGGAAATAAAGCAATTTCTTATTAGAAACGACTGTTTGAACAAAGTCCTCTGGCATAACCTGTGACAATTGTTTGCATTTCAAGTTGTCTTCTTAATTGTATTAGACTCTTACATTGTTCAGTCATTTATTTTGGTAAACCTTGGGCGTCTGTCAGTTGGTTCTTTAGATAATATTTTCCCCCCATGGCTTGTATTAAGGCAGAAGGGAAAACCTCCTCTCTGTTTAATGAGACCAGTAGATAAATGAAATGGGGGATTACTCATATTTAAAATCATTTTCTTTGCCCAAGACCAATTTAGGTATCCATTGTTGAATGGTGATGTTTTTAATTACTGGAAAAACTAACATGGTGATATTTTAAAGTTTACCTGCTCTTTCTAACCTGATGATTCTAGATGAAGAAAGTAAGTTTTGCTGGTAATCTTATCTACCCTAAAGCCTCCATGCAAAATTGTCTCTTTGTTCCATTAACTGAGAAACAACTGATTAGATCTCTTTTTATTTCTTCTAACACATACTGAACAGTGTCAAGACATGAAGCAAGAATTCTGGAAATATATAATACATAATCATATAATGCAAATACATACAACCATATAATGTCTATCTTAATGTACATTCATCATGTATATTATATATTCCCAATAATACACATTATTATATACTTATTTTATTCTTCCATTAGCCCAGGAAGAAAGGAGGTATTGTCTCCATGACATGTAAAGGGAACAGACTCTGGAAGGGCAACAGCTTGTTTGAGGCCACACTCTAGTGGTCAGTGACAGAGCCAGGAATCTTTTTTTTTTTTTTTTTTTCCCGAGACAAGAGTCTTGCTTTGTTGCCCAGGCTAGAGTGAGTGCCGTGGCGTCAGCCTAGCTCACAGCAACCTCAAACTCCTGGGCTCAAGCAATCCTACTACCTCAGCCTTCTGAGTAGCTGGGACTACAGGCATGCGCCACCATGCCCGGCTAATTTTTTCTATATATATTAGTTGGCCAATTAATTTCTTTCTATTTATAATAAAGACGGGGTCTTGCTCAGGCTGGTTTCGAACTCCTGACCTCAAGCAATCTGCCCTCCTCGGCCTCCCAGAGTGCTAGGATTATAGGCGAGAGCCACCACCTCACCTGTATTCCGGCCAGAGCCAGGAATTTTTACAGTGAGGACTCCCAAGTGCTTGTTATAGGGTTCTGTAGATTTCTTAATGGGAAGAAGTACTGTCTTTTCTTACTTACATGGTATGTCACTCTCCAAGACTCCTCTAGAATTAAGTGAATTCTAATTATTATCAAAGTTGGTCTACTGTTTTTATGGCATACTTTCCCTTGGGCAGCTGGATGATGGGGTTGGCGTGGTGGGAAGCTGGCACACGGTTCGAGTCCCAGGAAGCGAAAATGAGCTCCGTCTGACTGAACTAGAGCCATCTAGTCTTTACGAAGTCCTGATGGTGGCAAGAAATGCAGTGGGGGAAGGACAGCCTGCCATGCTCACCTTCCGAACCAGCAAAGGTGAGCACTGTCTCTTTAGAGGTATGAGCTGGCTGCCTGGTGTTAATTTACGAGTGAGAATTCTTTTGGATAGTAAAGATTCTTATATATAAATCACTAAATAATCGTATTGTAGCCCCCTGCCTTTTTGGCCACTTTGGGTAGTTGTATTATTCCATTCTATCTAGTATGCCACAAATATTTTTGAGAGCTTATGATGTACAGAGCATTAGGATAAGTGGTACAGGGAAAACAAGATGGTCAAGATACAGTCCATCCCAGTGGAGCTTGTACTTTGACAAGAAAGGTAAGTCATACACTAAAATACCAACAAGACAAAATTTAATTCAGTTCAGCTAATATTTTATTGAATGCCTTTTATGTGTCAGGCAATAAATAAAATAGACAAAACTCCATGGCCTCATAGAGCTTACATTCTAGTTGAGAGAGACTCATCCCTAAGAAGGTGATGGTGTCAACAAGAGAAACAAATTAGGGAATGATATGGAAAGTATATGGGCTAGGAGTTGTTCACAGCTTAAGCAGGTAGCCCTGGAGGTCCTCAGTGAGCAGCTAGTGTCAAAGCAGAGACCTGAAGCAGGCAAAGTAGAAAGCCATGTGGCTATCTAGGGAAAGGACATTCCTAGCAGGGGGAATTGCTAAGGCCACAAGGAGGGGTGTGTATGGTATGTCTGAGGAGCATCAAGAAAGTCACTGTGATGGGGGCTAAGGAGGCTGTAGGGAGGTGCTAAGGTACAACAGGGCATCTAGACCACATAGTGCCCTGTCAACCTTGTCAGGACTTTGGCTTTGCCTCTGAGTGAGCTGGGAAGAGCTGGACTGGTTGCATAGAGGAGTGATAAGATGTGCAGTCTGTTCTAGGAGAATGATTCCAAGGACTTTGTGCTGGAGGAGCACAAAGAAAGGGTATTCCTTCTGTGGGGCAGCTTGTGAGGGAAGGCTTGACTGAAAAGATGCCATCATTCATCACATTACCATACTTCAAACTATACTACAAGGCTATAGTAACCAAAACAGCATTGTATTGCTACAAAAATAGAGACATAGACCATTGAACAGAACAGAGAAACCGGATATAAAACCATCTACCTACAACCATCTGATCTTTGACAAAGCAGACAACATACACTGGGGAAAAGAAGCCCCATTCAATAAATGGTGCTGAGAAATCGGTTAGCTACATGCAGAAGAATGAAGCAGGATGCCTACCTCTACCACTCACAAAAATTTATTCAAGATAGATAAAAGACTTAAATCTAAGGCATGAAACCATAAGAATTCTAAAGGAAAATGTAGAAAAAACTCTTCTAGATATCAGCCTAGGCAAAGAATTTATGACTACAACTTCAGTGGCAATCATAGCAGCAACAAAAATAAATAAATGGGACTTGATTAAATTAAAAAGCTTCTGCACAGCTAAGGAAATAATTAACAGAGCAAATAGAGGACCTACAGAATGGGAGAAAATATTTTCAATCTATACATCTGATAAAGGGCTAATAACTAGAATCTACAAAGAGCTCAAACAAATCAGCAAGAAAAAAAATAACCCCATTAAAAAGGGGGCAAAAGACATGAACAGAAGCTTCTCAAAAGAAGAAAGACAAATGGCCAATAAACATGAAAAAATGCTCAACGTCACTAATCATTAGGGCAATGCAAATCAAAACCATAATGAGATATCATCTTATGCCAGATAGAATGGCTTTTATTAAAAAGTCCCAAAACAGCAGATGCTGGTGTGGTTGCAGAGAGAAAGGAATGCTTATACACTGTTGGTGGTACTACAAATTAGTACAACTTATATGGAAAACAGTAAGGAGATTTCTCAGAGAACTAAAAGTATACCTACCATTCGATCTAGCAATCCCACTATTTGGTATCTACCCAAAGGAAAAGAAGACTTTTCGTCAAAAAGATATCTGCACTCGAATGTTTATAGCAGCACAGTTCACAATTGCAAAGACATGGAATCAACCCAAGTGCCCATCAATTCATGAGTGGATTAATAAACTGTGGTATATGTGTACCATGGAATACTACTCAGCCATGAAGAAGGAGGAATTAATGCCTTCTGCAGCAACTTGGGTGGAACTGGAGACCATGCTCCTAAGTAAAGTATCTTGAGAATGGAAAAACAAACACCACGTGTACTCACCACTAAATTGGAACTAACTGATGGGCACACATATGCACAGAAGGAAGTAAAACTCGGTAGACATCAACTAGGGGGGAGAATGGGGGAGGGGAGGGGCAAAAACCTACCTAACAGGTACTGTGAACAGTATTTGGGTGATGAGCACACCTATAGCTGGAACTCAAGCATTACAGAAGCAATGGATCTAAAACATTTGTACCTCCATAATATTTTCAAATAAAAAAAATAAAAAGAAAGAAAAGAAAAGATGCCATCATGGCTTAGCCATAAATGAACAGAGACTTCAGTGCGTGGAGATGGGAACTGGGCAGAATAGTGTTTTGGTATGGTGCAATAATAAAAATGAGGTATGAAGATCGAAAAGAAACTATCTAGTGGCTTTTGAAAAAGACCTTTTCATCTAATTATTGAATCTGGGCTGGAAAATAATGAATATTTCCTATTTTAAATGCATTTTCACAATTGGTCCTTAGATGTTCACAGAGTCTGACTTATAAATACTAAATAATAAGCATACATTTCTGTTTTTAAAAAATCACTCAGTTTCACTTTCTACCTCTTGGAATATTAAAGCAATGTGATAATTTTCCTATGAAAAAAACTTAGCAGAAGCTCTTTAATGATGAATTTTACATTTTAGAATTGAGAAATATGTACAGTAAAAAGAAAAGTGGACCAATAATTTGGAAAGCTTCACTCTAATCATTTGACTTTGTTACTTGTGTTGTTTTTTTTCATGTGTAAATTAAAGTTAGAATGTTGAAGAAAGACACACTTCAGCTTTCCCTTAAAGATACTAGAAAAAGACAAAGTGATTTTTTGTCAGTTCCTCAGACCAGCCAAGCATTAATGATGTAGTATTAATATAGATGCTGTGGCAGATAAGTTCATGTATTTATACCTATATATTTATACCAGTAAAGTTTCACAGGTACTTTTTTTGTTGTTTTTTACTTTACATATATATAAGCTTATGTTACAGTATGTGTTTTTTGACCTCTCTAGAGAAAACAGCATCGTCAAAAAACACACTGGTATCTTCTCCACCCTTGGGAATGCCTAAGCATCCTGCTGTTTCCGAGGCTGCAAACAACAATTTTGGAGTGGTACTTACAGATTCTTCTAGGCATAGTGGAGGTAAAGAAAAGAATCTTCATTTTATTCATTTTGTTTGTTTACAAATATAACTAACCAGTTTCAGATTTGGGGAGGTGGAGTGGAATGGAGTGTTTATATATCCTACCAGATAGCTCCTTTAGGTCCTATTTCAACCATTTCTAATGTCCTGTATTTAAACTTTGGCAACTCAGTGTCACCATTGGCATTTAACTTAATAAATTCAGATTCAAAATGTTCTGGTACTAAGTTTTTATAACTCAAGAAAATGGTTTTTCTGTTTCCTTTCTGGTAAGAAAACTAAATTTATATTTTGAACTCCGAAAGTCTTGACTTTTTTGTGTGTGACTTATCAAAATGTATGGTGGTGCCCATGGTAAGTTATTTTACCAAAAGATTACATGCCATATTCACTTTTATTGCTCTCTAGTTAATCTTATGCTTTTTAAATGTCTTAGCAGTAAAATTTTCAAAAGACTTTTTAATATTTAAATCTCATACTTCTAAGTTCTGCAATTACAGCCTACTGTGCTTTTTGTGATTGTGCCAGTATGTCAGGACATCTAGGAAAGACTTAAAATTTCATTGTGGAGCTCTAAGAATTTCTAGGCTTTCTGTTCCATATTTTTGTGGTTTTCCATGAATTGGCCTTAGACAAAAGCAGGTCCTAATGCTTTGAACTGCCCCTGGAGCACCTGTGCTGCTGCCCTGTCAGGAGCCTGTCTTATGGGAGTACTTACTCCTCCAAGACACATTTTATCTATCTTAAGCAAATTTCTTATATGAGTAGCAACTTCATGTGAATAAAACCAACACCTGAAAAGCAAAATCCTTACTATTTATTTCACACACCCTCTGGTAGACACTGTACTAAATGCTGGAACTGCCAAGATAAAATAATTGTTGTCTTCAAGGAGTTTACAGTATAGTGGATGGTATTACACCTAAACCCATAACGACATAGTGGGTGATACAGACAGATACACTGTTTGAGTCATTATGCTTGAGGTTGTGCCCTTGGTGTTGGGATCATAAGAGCAATATCTAGCCACACATTTGAGGGAGAGGGCTGAGAGTGGTAAGAGGGGCTCCCCAGCATCTTGAGCCAAGTCTCAAAGGGCAAGAATGATACAGCTAGATGAGAAACAAGAAAAGACATCTTTTGGTGCAAGAAACAGATTGACTGATGTGTTCTATTTTGTTTAGAGATTTTATTTAGTGTGACTGGGTGCTGTGGGGGATGATGCAAGGGTGGGTGGCAGGTAGGTGCCTTGTATGCTGCACTTAAAAGTTCAGTCTTTCCCTGAAAGCTGCAATAACCCTGAAGGGTTTTATAGAGAGATGGGAAGAAAGGCAAAAGATTAGGCTAGAGAAATACTAAGGAGACCGATGGCATGAATGGAGGAGGGAGGACCTATGTGAATGATGGGGACGGGATCCACATCGAATGAAAGGGAGAAAGATGGTGATTTGGGCTTCAGCAACTAGGGGCCATTTACAAAGATAACTAATAAGAGTTTTTAGATGAATATTATGGATTCAGTTCTGGAAATCATGAATTTGGAGTTATCCAAGCAGAGATAACCATGAGAAGTGATTTATTTAATGTTCATAACAGACTTAGGAGGAAAGTAGCATATCTGTTTCACAAATTAGGAAACTGAGGCTCAAGGAGGTTATGTAGCATGCCTGAGACCATGCAGAGAGCAGTGGGACAGTGTTCTTTTTCACCTTGTAAATAGTCACGTGCTGTTTCTTTTAGAGGTTGAAGATATCTTTCTCTGTAGAGATGTTTTCCTTAATAACTTTCTTTTCCTATATGATCAATGATGTTTGATGAGTTTTAACCTTAGACCAGGGGTCCTCAAACGTTTTAAACAGGGGGCCAGTTCACTGTCCCTCAGACCTTTGGAGGGCCGGACTATAGTTTAAAAAAAACTATGAACAAATTCCTATGCACACTGCACATGTCTTATTTTGAAGTAAAAAGCAAACGGGCAAAAACACCCTCATGTGGCCTGCCGGCTGTAGTTTGAGGACGCATGCTAGATAAATCAACATAAGAAGTTGTTTGGTTTTCTCATATTAAAAGAGAGATTCACTAACAGTTCTATTCATTCTGTTTCCATTGCTTTCTATCTTGAAAGGAATACAGTAAGTATCACTCAGAGTTGCCTGCTTTGTCTGTATTTCTCTTCATCCCTTAAGCAATTTGTTTTTAAAATGCCACAGTTTTCTCCATACAAGTGGAGCATGATATAGGCTAGGTAGGGATGGGGCTAAGGAGAAGGTACTGTCACCATGGCCAGGTGTTGGCCCTCCACCTTCCAGCTATAGCAGCTTCATTATCAGCATGCCAAAAGGCCCTTGGTCTCTTGAGAACCAGCTCACTTCTACAAAATTCACAGGTTGGTTGATTAATGTAAACCAGAATGGCAGTTTACTAGTGTGCTGTGTTACTGTCCTACCGACTGGATTGTTTCTGTCAGCATTCTTTCCTTGTAGGCACCTAGTGGGATGCCAGTTACAACCACAAGATTGTTCGGCCACCAAGAGAGCTTAGGTGTATGCTGCACATGGCTGAGGAGCTTCGTCCTGATGCTTCCACCTGCTGCAGGGTCTAGACTCCAGGCTGTCTACTTTGTGGGTTAGGGCATCACCTCTCCTTGGCAGTGCTAACTGAAAATTGCTAGATATTAGCTCCCTGACTACCTTTTTCTACATGTTCGTGTGGATCATCTTTTCTGGATAGCACCTTTCTTTATTTAACTACGTAGCCAGTCTTCCTGCTTTCATCCTAAGCAGCACTTCCTTTCCCCACTATTATCGGTATTGATTTTATCAGTCAGATTTTATCTGCATTTGCTGTTTGCAGTCTGTATTTTAGAATAGCATTCCTGTTGCCTTAAGGTATATGAAGGCAGGATATAATGTTAATGGTTAATATAATAATCAGTGGATTGCTGGATGCATTTTAGTAACTTGGATGGATAAAGAAAAACATTTAAATAAGAAAACATATGATTGTAAAAATTTATTATAAATTATAACCATAATCAGACTTGAAACATCAAATAATAATTACTTATTGTTTTAGTTATTAATTTAAAGTAGCATGGTCAAAATTATCATACTCATTAACTTTCAGTTTTTTAGAGCTAATTACCATGTTTATAGATTATTCTATTCTCTTTTATTTCCTGTGTTTGGCCATCCCAATCCTCCCACCCTTTTTTTTTTGAGATAGGCCTTTTTTTTTTTCCCCAGGCTGGAGTACAATGGCCTGATTGTATCTCACTGCAGCAGCCTCAAACTCCTGGGCTCAAGTGATCCTCCTGCCTCAGCTCAGCCTCCTGAGTAGCTGGGACTACAGGTGCATGCCATTAGGCCTGGCTAATTTTTCTATTTTTTGTAGAGACAGGATCTCGCTATGTTGCTCAGGCTGGTCTTACACTTCTTGGCTCAAGTGATCCTCCTGCCCTGGACTCCCAAAGTGCTGGGATTACTTACAGGTGTGAGCTGCTGTGCCTGGGCCCCATTTGCTTTTAACAGAGGACAGGAAGATAGCCATAATTTTATTAATTCTGGAAAAAAGTTTGGTTAAGAACCTTTAGGAACATGAGGTTTGGGATTTATCCCTTTAGTTCATTTAAATTATTCTATCTCTGACACCATGAGTTATTGAAATGAATGTTCCATTTTTAGTTCCAGAGGCACCAGATCGGCCTACTATTTCCACTGCCTCAGAGACGTCTGTCTATGTCACTTGGATTCCGAGGGCAAATGGGGGTTCTCCAATCACTGCCTTCAAGGTTGAATATAAACGAATGAGGACTAGTGATTGGCTGGTGGCAGCTGAAGATATCCCTCCTTCTAAACTTTCTGTGGAAGTTCGTAGTTTAGAACCAGGTAGTAAAATTCAAACATTTCCTTTTTTTTTTTTTTTTACCATCAGCACTAATATTAGATGAATATTTCTAATGATCTTATATTTTTTCCAATTGTTAAAGTAATGCATGCTTATTGTATAAAAATTTGAAAATAAAGAAAATATAAAGAAGGGAATAAGTCACCTGAAATCCACCTATCCAGAGATAGTCACTGTTTATGTTTTGGTGTATTTTTTTTCTAGCGTTTTTTTTTTTCTTCTTAATACCAACCAAGATCATGCCATTTAAATATTGTTTTGTCACCCCATTTCCCTCTTATTATATCATATGCATTTTCCATTATCATTAAGATTCTTCACAAGCTCAACTTTTGATAGTTGTTTGTCTTCTGTATAGGTAAATACACCATAGTTGACTTTTTGATTCTTTATTTCTGGATTTTAGTTTGTTTCTACTTTTTAAAGTTAGCAATAATGCAGTGAACATCTGTGTGTGTGTGTGTGTGTGTGTGTGTGTGTGTGTGTGTGTGTTTGTGTGTGTGTTGCAATGGCAGAGTATGTTAAGAGGAAGGTTGCTTGTTTTTCGGTTAAAATTGTTTGATCTGATGCTGAATCTCAGCACAATGATACTCAGTGCTTAGTCTTAGGAAAATAAGACAACGATTAACACTTGTTCTATCAGTTTTGTTTCCACAGAGGAACCACCTCCCCCCATCAAAATCTTGAGGCTATATGAAAGAATTTAAATTGTAAAAGAGAAAAAAGATAAACTTTGCTTACTTTTATTTGTTTAGGTTTCATGACTATTTTTGTTTCTGGACTTTTAAACGTACGTTAGTAGCAAATGCCTATTTGTCCAAACAAGTAATATGAGGAGCATAGGAATATATAGGTATACTTGGGAGAAGATGGCAGTTTTCAATGTAGGCAAAGCAAAGTAATATTTTATATACTGAAAACAATGTCTTCAGAAGCTCAGTGATTATTTTTGAGTTATTCGGAAACTTGCTTTAGGATTCTAATTTATTCTTTAGATTCAAATTTTCAGACATTCACAATCCTTAGCATTTTTAAAAGTTCTTAATATCTAATCCAAATAAATTCCTTCTGTTGTATTTTAAATCTTCTCCCTTTTACCCATTAGCCATGAAACCAAAGTGGCATCTGCTGTTACCCTCACAGTGCCTCTTGATAAATGTATTCACCATATTAAGCTTCACTTCAGTTGTTTCTTTTTAAGTTAAAAGAACCTAGTTTTGGGGACAGACACTTCAACTAATACTGTGTTTGATGGGTATGACTTAGAATGATGTGTAAAGAAGTCAGTGTCCTCCTTCTCCCTCTCCACCTGCTCCCTCCGTGAGACGACATTGATCTCTCAGTGTTCTTCCCTGGGTCCTGAGAAGGTCTTGGGGTCTCGAACACAGTGCATTGAACAGCCACTCCCAGTTGATTGAAATAGGCCCATGCGGTGAAATCTGTTTACCAGACAGGCTTCAGAGTACATTATTTTTATTGTAGATGGGTACTTATGCACAATTGTCATATTTTAACTATGCTACCTTCAGTTGTCTCCTTATTGCTTTTTTTTTTTAGTTATGGGTTTTTTGTTTTGTTTTTGTTTTTGCCTAAAGGTTCAACATACAAATTTAGGGTCATTGCTATCAACCATTATGGTGAGAGTTTTCGAAGTTCAGCGTCTCGTCCTTATCAGGTGGCTGGGTTCCCCAACCGGTTTTCCAACCGTCCAATAGCTGGACCTCACATTGCTTACACAGAGGCTGTCAGTGATACTCAGATCATGCTAAAGTGGACGGTAAGTAATGTCTTTTTGAATGGGAAGATTTTCTGATTTGGTCATGTTAACAATCAATTTAATATTCTCCTAATGCGATACTGTGGACAACAAATTTTTAAACTTTTAATTGAGGGGAAGTGAAAGGGTACCAATATTTGTCTAAAAGCACACATTATAAGGGGGGCAGGGTTAAAAATAAAATTATTGTTTCTTTGGCTCTCATCCAAGTGTTATTAACTGTCATCTTGTGATTAATTCATTTTGAACCAATATACTTTTTATGCTTTGGGGCCTATTATGCTGCTTTATTTTTGTTCAACCCTGCAATAAGCTACATGCTGTTAAAACCTTTGAATACCCTTGAATTAAGTTGAAAATGGCCATTAAGTATATTTGCAAAATGAAGCTATTTACCACAAAGACAAATATATGTTAGTGGATGTGTAAGTTAAATTTATTTTTGTCTTTGACAAGTCTTTGCTCTTATTTTTTAGTACATTCCATCAAGTAACAATAACACTCCTATTCAAGGATTTTATATCTATTACCGGCCAACAGATAGTGACAATGACAGTGATTATAAGAAGGATGTTGTAGAAGGTAAGCTTTGGAAGGAGAGGGTTTTTAAATGTTATGAAATGCATCATCCCAGGTTAAGATAGAGTAAAAAATGGAATGGCATATGCTCTATTACTGTTGAATTTGTCCCAAAGAAAGCCAGTTTTTCCAATTTTATATATATATTACCTTACCTTTTGGTTGCAGAAACAGTTATAAAAGTATGGAGAAGATTTGATTTGTCAGTAGTTCATCCGGAAAAAAAATGTATTTCTGTTTTGTTTAAGTGAACAGTGACCTGAATATAAAAATCAAATGTGACCTTTAGCCACATTTAAAAAACAAATGTCTCACTCAAACAGTTTCATTAAAGTCTGTACTAGAAAGATTTCATCTTAAGTATATTACCCACTTTCAGAGAAATTGGAATGCATATAGAGAAAAAGAAAACAGCCGAAGCGGTGAAATGTATTGAGACTGCTTTTCTGCTGCATTTGAGACAGAGCTCAGAGTTTTGGGTGTGGCTGGAGGCCCCAGGACCAGGCTGGTTCCTGCCTCAGCCAGGTCTCCTGCACCTGTCCCTTTCTGGCCGCCTTTTGGTTTCCTTGTACGCAGCGAGAGGTATTTTTGCTTTGGGACCTTGGCACAGGTAGTTACCACTGCCTACTGTGCTCTGCCCCTAGCACTTTATCTAGGTGCTCCCACTGTTCTCTGCTCTGTGCTTAAATGCCACTTCATCAGGTAAACCCTCCCTGCTAACTTCCTCTCATTTGCATGAGATACCCTTGCAATAATTTCTAACCGTACCCTTTATCTTCATTTCATAGAAGTTATCAAAGTTTAAATACATGGTGTGTGTGTCTGTGTGTGTGTTTGGAATTATTTGCCTAAAGTTTGTCTCCTCTACTAAATGTTAACTTCTTTGTGGGCATGGGACTTTTTCCCTACAGCTGTATTGCCAGCCCCTACAATGATGAGGTGTTTAGTATTGAATTAATGTATCAATGAAGTCCAGAAAGAACAATGGAACGTCTAGTGGTGTTCAGGCTGGAAAAAAAGACTAACAGAAGCAACATGATAACTGTCTTCAGATATTTAAGGAGTATTATGTGGAAGAGGAGCTGAGTCAGTTGGGGGAGGGGAAGTTACAAGAAAGTAGTATACGAAAGAACTTTCTAACATAGTATTTGAACATAGATTCCCTCACAAAGTAATAGACACTGTAATTTTGGAAATGATCAATAGGACATAGGTGACTATTTCTCAGTAATGTCTTGGAAGGGATTCTTGCTTTGGGAGGAAGGCTTCTTCCAAAACCTATTTTCACTCCAAGATTCTGATTCTTTGAAATACTCAACATCGTAATGAATCATATCAGAAAATTGCCCTCAGCCAAGATTATTTTTCATAATCAAATACTGCATATAGCTTTTGTTATAATAAATTACTTTAAGTATGCTATATTACATTTCTTTAAATATTGTAGCCGTTCTTTTAATGTTTAACCAATGGAATGACTTTTGTAATGTAATGAAAACTTTATGATCTGAGGTTTTTTTTGAGACAGAGTCTCACTATGTTGCCCAAGCTAGAGTGAATGCCATGGCGTCCGCCTAGCTCACAGCACCTCAAACTCCTGGGCTCAAGCAATCCTACTGCCTGAGCCTCCCAAGCTGAGACTACAGGCATGCCTGGCTAATTTTTTTTTCTATATATATTAGTTGGCCAATTAATTTATTTCTGTTTATAGTAGAGATGGGGTCTCACTCTTGCTTAGGTTGGTTTCGAACTCCTGACCTCGAGCAATCCACCCGCCTCGGCCTCCTAGAGTGCTAGGATTAAAGGTGTGAGCCACCGCGCCCGGCCTATGGTCTGAGTTTTAATACTCAGCACATAGTAGGTGCTCAATAAATATTTATTTTTGAATGAGGAACGATTGTTTTTCTTCTGCCATACCTATTTGTGGCAAAAGTATTCTGGTCTTAGCAGTCACCATAGTAGCTGTCTTGAGGGGTGAGGCCAGCAGTGTTCTCTTTCTAGACCCATGTGCTGGTGCCGTAGGTGTGTGCCGTTTGTGAGCCTTCACTATTCTGTACAGTTATGTGGACTTTTCTGTGTACAGATCAGATTTTATATCAATAAAAAGGCTATTTTAAAAAAAGAATTAGAAAAATAATTGTTATCACTATTCTGTATTTTGGTCCTGTGTAGTTCTTCATTTTAGTTCAGCTGGTTTAGAGTAGTGAGGATGCCACTTTCATTTTTAAAACTTTTTGACAGAGGTTAAATGTTTAAGTTCTGAACCAAACAAATGTAAATAAAATGTGTTTTATTTACATCTGTATTTCTCTGCCTTCCTCGCTCTCCTGCCTTCACCCTTTCTAGTTCTGCCCTCTAGAAATATCCACTAGTAAACAGTTTTTAAAGTATATTCTGTGGTCAAATCTTCAAACTTTTATAAATTTCTGTGATGTGAATAAAGAAGCTTTTCAATCTAGTACTAGTGCCTACAAGTGGGAGTTCTGCCTTAGGGCTCACAGAGAACTTGTTTATAAATGTAGCATACTGAGCCGTTAGATGTTTAAATGGACTTCACTGTGCTATGTAATTTGCTTATTCCTTATTTTCAAGTTTGTGCATATGAAATTCTTTTTGTGGCAATTGGAAACTATTGATCTATTCTCCCAAACCCAGGAATAAACGTGTTCATCCTTTGTATTTAAATTTTCTTTAAAAGTTTTACATTACTTATATGCATTGACCCCAAATTTAAGCTTTTGAAAAAAATCTGAAACTCAAATTGTAAAAGAATATATTAAGAACACTTTGGGAGGCTGAGGTAGGATTGCTTACGTCAGGAATTCGAGACCAGCCTAAGCAAGAGTGAGACCCCATCTCCACAAAAAATACAAAAATTAGCCAGGCATGGTGGCATGCACCTATAGTCCCAGCTACCCAGGAGGCTGAGGCAGGAGGATCGCTTGAGCCCAGGAGTTAGAGGTTGCTGTGAGCTAGGTAGGCTGACCACTGCATTCTACCCAGGGCAACAGAGTGAGACTCTTGTTGGAGGGAAGGGAAGGGGAAGGGATGTGGGGAGGGGAAGGGGAAGGGAAGCGGGGAAGGGGAAGGGAAACGGGGAGGGGAAGGGGAAGGGAAGCGAGGAGGGGAAGGGAAGCGGGGAGGGGAAGGGAAGGGAGGATATAGTAAGAGAAGGACAATTAAGTTCTCTTATTTTCTGAATTAAGTTCTACATTTTGATGAACTATAAATGATTCCAGCATAGAATTGCTTTTGTGTTGAATATTTTTATCTTGTAAAGTTAAATCAAGTTCCAAATAAATCAAAGTATCAGTCATTCTGATCTTTAAGTCTGTGCTTCGGTTTCTGTCTACTATAAACCCTTACCTTCTCTAAAGTATTCTTTGGGAAAATAACTGCCTGTTAAGCAAAATAACTGCCCGTTAATGTGTGGTGGTTGGTTGATTTTAAATCTAATAATGCAGTTAGTTGTCTTATTCATCAATGATCAGTAAAAATTTTTTCTCTTTGCTGATTTTTCTGTAATTTTTGCCATTGGAAGAATTATCATAGCAATGGAATATTAATCTCATAAGGTATGTATCATTTTAAGTGTTTTCTTTTATTAGCAACACATTAGAAGCCAAGTTTAATTCTATTTTTACTAGTGCTATGAAAGGAAAACTTCAAATCTAGTGTAGTAATTATTCAAGACAATGTTTATAGTTAGGTGAGTAGAGGGCCAGGTCAGGAAAGACCTAAGGCTAGAGAAAAAATAGAACTCTTTGGAAAGTTTTTGGATTTTAGAAGTAGGTCTGTCTATTCCAGTTTCAACCAGTTATAAAATTAAGATATTTTGGGGTTCTCTTTACATTTAAAATGGGGTACAGAATTCCTCCCTTCTTGAGGTTTCAGAGATGCCTGATCCTAAAACAAGCAGGTTTTCTTCCGTATAAAATGTGGGTCTGTGTGAGTGTGGGGTTTTGTATTGGCAACCTGGAAAGGGGTTTGTACTTCCAGAATGAAATATTTTTGTCTTTGTTGAATTAGACAGGAACCTGGTGGTGTTGGTCCTGTAACTCATGTGTGGGGTTTTGTTTTGGCTTTTTTCCTCCTTTAATTTGTTCTTAAATCAGTTGGTAGTATACTTGAGTTTCTAAGAAACAGTGGAAACAGTCTGAAGAGATATTTCCTAAGAGGGTTAAGAAAATTGAAGAGTTAATTAAATCTGGCAAAAGTGACCATGTTTATGAAAGTTTGTCATAGGTCCATGGAAGTATAAATGAGAGTGATTTGTATTGGAGTGTTCAGTTGAGGAGTGTTTCTAAATGAAATGTTGGCTGAGTGCCAGAGATAGCAGAATCATTTGATTAGAGATGCTTGTGTGCTTTGGAGACCCTGACTTAAAAGAAAAGTAGTAGTGGGAGTGGCAGCTAGAGTTTCCTGTAGTAGGTTTTGCTTTTTGATGATTCTCAGAAGCCTGTTCAGGCATTTGTTTACATGGCAGTTCATGCTGTGGCCATTACAATTGAATTGAGAGGTTCAATAAGGCCTTTCTTGTCACTGGTCACTTGCTTTGGGAAATGTACCATTTGCTGATCTCATATATAGTATTGCTTTTGGGTGGGTGGCATAGTGATTTGACTTGGTGAGTTGAAATAAGGATCAAAGGACTTGAGGTTTTTCTTTTACCTATGTATAAGAGTAACATATATTTTATGAAAAGCTCATCACTAATTATTTTTAATGAAACAAGTATTACAACCAACACACAGATGTAGCTTTAATTCAGTTTATTTTTTCTCTCCACCTTTTTTCACGCCACGTAATAGAAATGCTGTTTATCTGTGGCACATTATTAAATTATATTACATTAAGTGCATTTTTATTGCACAAACTACACTAGATGGTGATGGATGCTGTTCTGGCCTCATTCCAAATATATTAAGTAATTATGTTGACGTCAGCATGTAGGTTGTACTAAATGTAAAGCTGTCTTTCATTTTTCCTTTCTAGGTTCAAAGCAGTGGCACATGATTGGCCACCTGCAGCCAGAGACCTCCTATGACATTAAAATGCAGTGCTTCAATGAAGGAGGAGAAAGCGAATTTAGCAACGTGATGATCTGCGAGACTAAAGGTAGGAGAAGGAGAAAATTTGTGCTTTATTGATGTATTTACCTGAGGGAATTTCTGCTTCAGACCATTTTCTAGGTGCATACATTATACTTTCCCAACAAAAGTATACTATGTTGGCTAGAGCATTTGTCTAAAATATAGTTTACATAAGCATTCTGTTCATTAAAACAGAAGACACCACTGGTGAATAATAGAAACAGCTAATGTGGGTATTTGCAAGCAAAAGCACTCCTGTCCACTGTCTCACTTAATCTTCACGACAACCTTGAGGATACTGTCAACTGCAAAGAACACAGAAATCCCCACTAAGTAGGCTTCAGCAGTGAGGAAATGTATTGTCCCCAGAATAAGAAGTCCAGAAGTAGGTAAGTCACTCCATAATTGTTTAATCCAGAGGTTCATGGCTTTCTGTTTCTCCTCTGCCATCTTCTGGTTGTCAGCTTTGCCCTAAGCCTGGCACTGTTGTCCATAGCTCACCACAGTTCTGGCTTCACATCTAGGTGCTGTGAAATCTGACAGTGTCTATTTTTATTTTTATTTTTAATTTTTTTTATTTCAGCATATTATGGGGTTACAAATGTTAAGGTTACATATATTGCCTATCCCCCCTACTCCTTTGAGTCAGAGCTTCAAGCGTGACCATCCCCCAGATGTTGCATATCCCACTTATTAATTCACTCATGTATTAATGAGCACCTGGGTTATTTCCACACCTTTGCGATTGTGAACTGTGCTGCTATAAACATTCGAGTGCAGGTTTCTCATTTGTAGAGTGTCATTTGATCTTTTGGGTAGATGCTCAGTAGTGGAATTGCTGGATCAAATGGTAGATCTACTTGTATCGCTTTAAAGTATCTCCATATTGCTTTCCACAGAGGCTGAACCAGTTTGCAGTCCCACCAGCAGTGTAGGAGTGTTCCTCTCTCTCTGCATCCACGCCAACATCTATTGTTTGGGGACTTTTTGATAAAGGCCATTCTTACTGGAGATAAGTGATATCTCATTGCGGTTTTGATTTGCATTTCCCTGATGATTAGAGATGTTGAGCATTTTATCATATGTTTGTTGGCCATTATTCTGTCTTCTTTTGTAAAATTTCTATTCATGTACTTTGCCCACTTTTTGATAGGGTTGTTTGATTTTTCCTTGCTGATTTTCCTGAGTTCTAAATAAATTCTAGTTATCAGCTCTTTATTGGATGTGTAGCTTGCAAAAATTTTCTCCCATTCTGTGGGTTGTCTGTTTGCTCTCTTGATAGTTTCTTTGGCTGTGCAGAAGCTTTTTAATTTGATAAGGTCCCATTTATTTATTTTTCTTGCTGCTGTGATTGCTTTTGGGGACTTCTTCATAAATTCTTTGCCTAGGCCAATGTCTAGAAGAGTATTTCCAACGTTTTTCTCCAGAATTCTAATAGTTTCACACCTAGTGTTCAAGTCTGTTACCCAGCGTGAGTTGATTTTTGTGATAGGTGAAAGGTGTGGGTCCTGTTTCAGTTCTCTTCATGTGGCTATCAAGTTTTCCCAGCACCATTTATTGAATAAGGATTCTTTTCCCCAGTATATGTTTTTGTCTGCTTTGTCAAAGATTAGTTGGCTATATGAGGATGGTTTTATATCTGGGTTCTCTGTTCTGTTCCACTGGTCAATTTCCCGTTTCTTGTGCCAGTCCCAAGCTGTTTTAATTACTATAGCCTTGTAGTATAGTTTGAAATTTGATATTTTGATACCTCCTATTTAGTTTTTATTGCCTAGGATTGATTTTGCTATACGGGGTCTTCTCTGGTTCCATATGAAGTGTAAAACTATTTTTTCTATATCTGTGAAAAATGATGATGGTATTTTAATAGGGTTTGCATTGACTCTGTAGGCCACTTTAGGTGGTATAGACATTTTAACAATGTTAATTCTGTCGACCGATGAGCATGGTATATTCTTCCACCTGTTTACGTCCTCTGCTGTTTCTTTCTTCAGGGTTTCATAGTTCTCCCTTTAGAGGTCTTTTACCTCCTTAGTTAAATATATTTCTAGGTGCTTTATTTTCTTTGTTGCTATTTTGAAGGGAAGTGAGTCTTTGATTTGGTTCTCACTTGTACTGTTGTTGGTGTATATGAATGTCTCTGATTTCTGTGTATTGATTTTGTATCCTGAGACTTTACCAAATTCATTTATCAATTCAAGGAGTCTCTTGGTTGAATCCTTGGGGTTTTCTAGGTATAATATCATGTCTTCAGTAAAGAGTAAGAGTTTGATCTCTTCTGCTTCTATTTGGATGCCCTTAATTCTGCTTTCTTGTCTGATTGCTGTAGCAAGGACTTCCAGCACTATGTTGAATAGAAGTGGAGATATCAGGCAACCCTGTCTTGTTCCAGTTCTAAGTGGGAATGCTTTCAGTTTTTCCCCATTGAGGAGGATATTGGCTGTGGGTTTGTCATATATGGCTTGTATCATTTTAAGGTAAGCCCCATCTATGCCTATTTTGTTGAGCATTCTTATCATAAAAGGCTGTTGAATTTTGTTGAATGCTTTTTCTGAGTGTAATGAGAGGATCATATGGTCTTTGTTTTTGCTTCTGTTTATATAGTGAATTACATTTATAGGTTTGTGTATGTTGAACCATCCCTGCATCCCTGGGATGAAGCCCACTTGGTTGTGATGGATTATTTTCTTGATAAGCACCTGGATTCTATTAGCTAGGATTTTGTTGAGAATTTTTGCATCTATATTCATAAGGGATATTGGTCTGTAGTTTTCTTTTTTTGTTGTATCCTTTCATGGTTTTGGTATCAGGGTTATGTTCACTTCATAAAATGTGTTGGGGAGGATTCCATCCTTCTCGATGTTGTGGAATAATTTCTGCAGGATAGGCACTAGTTTTTCTTTGTAGGTGTGGTAAAATTCGGGTGTGAAATCATCTGGTCGAGGACTTTTCTTTTTAGGAAGGTTTTTTATTGCTGTTTCAATTTCAGTACTTGATATTGGTCTGTTCAGGAACTCTTTTTCTTCCTGGTTGAGCCTAGGGAGGCTGTGTGTTTCTAAGAAATTGTCCATTTCCTCCACATTTTCCAGTTGGTGTGCATAAAGGTTTTTGTAGTATTTGTAAATTATATCTTGTATCTCCGTGGCATCAGTTGTAATTTCTCCTTTATTGTTCCTAATGGAGCTTATTAGAGATTTTTCTTTTCTTCTTTTCATTAGTCTAGCCAATGGTGTGTCAATTTTGTTTATTTTTTCAAAGAACCAACTTTTTGTTTTATTAATCTTCCGTATAATTTCCCTGTTGTCAATTCGTTTAGATATTTATGATTTCACTTCTTCTGCTGGGTTGGGGGTCAGTCTAGTCTTTCTTTTTCAAGCTCTTTGAGACGATTCATTAGGTTGTCTATTTGTGATCTTTTTGACTTTTGGATATAGGCATTTATGGAAATATACTTTCCATATAGGACTTAGGACTGCTTAGCTGTGTCCCATAGGATTTGGTAACTTGTGTCTCCTTTGTCATTTAGTTCAAAGAATCTTTTCATTTCCATCTTGATTTCCTCATTTATGAAGTGATCATTCAGCAGAAGGTTGTTTAGTTTCCATGACTTTGTGTAGAAATGAGAACTCCTGTTAGGATTGATTTCTACATTTATTCCATTGTGGTCTGAAAAGATACATGGTATAATTTCTATTTTTTAAAATTGTTTGAGACGTGCTTTGTGTCCTAGGATATGGTCAATCTTAGAGAATGACCCATGAGCTGATGAGAAGAATGTATATTCAGTGGTTTTGGGGTAGAATGTCCTGTAAATGTCAGTCAGGCCCATTTGTTCTAGGGTTCTGTTTAAGTCCATTATTTCTTTGTTGATTTTCTGTTTGGAGGATCTGTCCTGTGCTGTCAGTGGGGTGTAAAGTCTCCAACTATTATGGTGTTGTTGTTTATCCATTTGTTTAGATCAAGTAGAGTTTGTTTATGAATCTGGGTGCACCAAGGTTGGGTGCATATATATTTAGAATTGTTATGTCTTCTTGTTGAACTGTACCCTTCACCATTATATAGTGACCTTCTTTGTCTTTTATTACTTTTGTTGATTTAAAAACTAAGTTATCTGTAATCAGCACTGCCATGCCAGCTTTCTTTTGGCTTCCATTTGCTTGAAATATTGTTCTCCACCCCTTTACCTTTAGTCTAACTGCATCCTTGCAGGTTAGATGTGTTTCCTGAAGGCAGCAGATACTTGGCTTGTATTTTTTTATCCATTCGGCCAGCCTGTGTCTCTTGAGTGGGCAGTTCAAGCCATTTACATTTATTGAGAGAACTGATAGGTGGGGCAGATTTCTGTTCATTATGTTGAGTTGAACTTTGTTGCTTTGTTTTCTCTCTTGAGCCATTGTGGTATCTGGGCTTTGATCTTTAGCTTTGAGTAGATTTACATTCGTGAGTGTTTATTGTGCTGATTCATGAGTAACACTGTTTTGAGTACTTCTTGTAGGGCTGGTCTTGTCTTAGTGAATTCCCTCAGTCTTTGCTTATGTGAGAATGTCTTGATTTCTCTGTCATATACAAAACTTAGTTTTGCAAGGAATAAGATTCTAGGCTGGGCATTATTCTGTTTCAGTAAAGTGAGAATAGGGCCCCAGTCTCTCCTTGCTTGTAAAGTCTCAGCAGAGAAGTCTCGTGTTATTCGAATTGGCTTTCCCTTGTATGTTACTTGCTTTTTTCGTCTTACAGCTCTTAGAAGGGCCTCTTTAGTTGATATTTTGGTCAGTCTGATGACTGCTTGTCGTGAAGTCTTTCTGTTTGTATTGAATCTCCCAGGGGTCCTCTGAGCTTCTTGAACTTGTATATCGAGATTTTGAGCATGGCCTGGGAAATTTTCCTCTATTATATCTTCAAATAGCTTGTCCAACCCTTGAGTGTTTTCTTCTTCCCCTTCTGGTAATTGTATGACCCTCACATTAGGTTTCTTCACATAATCCTACATCTCTTGTAGGCTTTGCTCTTTTCTCTTGTTTCTCTGCTCTATCTCTGTGACTGATTTATTTAATTGGAAGGTGTTATCTTTAATCTCTGAGATTCTTTTTTCTGTTTGATCTACCCTGTTCTTGGGGCTTTCCACTGTGTTTTGTAGTTCCCTGAATTGATTCCTCATTTCCAGGAGTTTGGTGAAGCTTTTCTTCATTGTTTCAATTTTTAGTGAATTTTGTTTCAGGTCCTGGAATCTTTTTGTGTTTTCTTTTTGTTAGTTATGCAGTTGTTCTTTCAAGTTGTTGAATTTTCTTACGATCCTCTTTCAAAATTCTTCTTCTGTCATTTTAGTCGCCTGATTTTGGTTGGTGTCCATTTCTAAGGGGCTGGTGCTCCTCTTTGTGGGTGTGCTTTCTGTTTGGTTCTTCATATTTCCAGAGTTCCTTCCCTGATTTCTTCCCATCTGGATCAGTTGTTGCTTCTTGCCTTAGGTTTTTGTTTGGGTATTGACATGCCCTGTTTAGTCTCTTAGCCAGTAGGTGGTGTTTGTGGGTGAGATTTGACCACACCCTGTATGATGAGTCAGTAGGTGCCGTGAAAAGGGTGTGCAGAATGTCCTCCCTGTCAGTAGGTAGTACTTGCTCAGAGGAGCAGGCTACACTGTTTTTTTGGGTCTTGTATCCAGTTCTTGTTACCCTGGAGGGGCACTCTAGTGCCTCAGGTGGTGGGTGGCGCCCTGGAACTTCCAGGTGTATCCTTTTCTCCCCCTCCATGAGGGCTGGTCTGGGAGTGAGTCTGGACAGTGCTGGGTTGGGTAAGCCTGCCCTCAGGCACCACCAATGCTGTTAGCAGGTGTCAAAGTTCTGTTCTCTGCTTCCAAGAAAAGCTTTCAGGGAGGGGCTGGAATGGCCCCACTGTCAGAAAGTTTGTGTGTGGGGGTGGGGCCGTCTGTGATCTGCAGTCTGGAGCGGGCCTTGCTTCTTTCCACCCTCCCCAATTCTGCAACTACTTCTGGGCCTCTGCCAGCAGGCCAGACCTCACGCCACTGGGCCTTCACTGGCTATGATGCTGGTCTGGACGTTCCCTGTGCAGGGTCTCCGCCTGGGATGGGCACACAGCCCCCCTTTGGGAGGAGGGTTTCCCTCAAGGACGCTGATATGCCCCTGAAGGCACACTCACCTCAGTAGGCTGTTCACCTATATCCCTTCTGTGTCCTGGGCAATGCGAGACCTGGTTGCATGGGATCTGGTCTGCAGGTCTGACCTCTGGGCCCTCGAGTTCAATCCCTAACCCCACCAGGGAGAGGAGACTGCTGTGATTTTTCCTTGAGTTCTTTGGCTTCTCTTTATGGTTTTCATCTTACCTTTCTCATTTCAGGCTTTTACCTGTCTCTCCTTATTGACATTGATAGGTTTGTCCTCAGTTTTTTGTTTTTTTTTTTTTTTTTTAAATTGAGACAGAGTCTCGGTTTGTTGCCCAGGCTAGAGTGAGTGCCGTGGCGTCAGCCTAGCTCACAGCAACCTCAAACTCCTGGGCTCGAGTGATCCTTCTGCCTCAGCCTCCCGGGTAGCTGGGACTACAGGCATGCGCCACCATGCCCGGCTAATTTTTTTTTTATATATATATCAGTTGGCCAATTAATTTCTTTCTATTTATAGTAGAGACGGGGTCTCGCTCTTGCTCAGGCTGGTTTTGAACTCCTGACCTTGAGCAATCCGCCCGCCTCGGCCTCCCAAGAGCTAGGATTACAGGCGTGAGCCACAGCGCCCGGCCTGTCCTCAGTTTTTAACTTTAGCAAGAGGTTGGAAACCAGATCATGAAGCTTGGTAGAATTGCAAATAAATTAAGAATAAAAAAAGAGTGATTAAGCCTGAAGGACTTCCCCATGAGTCATCATGATCTTTAATGTATGATATGGAACATCCATGGTGCTCAAAAACTTTTGTCTTTCTTTTAGAGTTGGCAGGGACCATAGAATTGTCAAATCCAACTTACCACCTGAAGAAGAAATTTCCTTTGAAGTCTCTGCCAAATATCCATCCAATGCTCAATACTGGAGAGCTCCTCCTTCCTTTAAAAGATGGCCTCCTTTTTCCTTATTCTCAGCCCTGTTCGGTGTAGTTGTTATTGCTAGAAAATTGAGTCCCAACTTAATGTCATTTGTAAAGTAAATTTTTAAGAGGCTACTTTGCTCTCATGGCTTGTTAGGCTCCATGGAATATATTATATATAGGAAATATATAGTATAGTATTAATAGTATAATAGCTAATAATAACAGCAAAATTGATTAAACACCACTGTGTGCTAGGCTCTAAGTGCTTGTGTGGCTGAACTCATTTACTCTTTTTCATGACTGTATGACAAAGCTCTTGTTATCTTCCCTGTTTTCCAAGTGCAGGAGTGGGGTTTGTGGAGGTAAAAGTCATGTAGCTGATGTGAAATGGTGACACTGTGATGTGTGCCCAGACAGTCTGGTTCCAGAGACCAGGCTGTGTACCACTTTACTGCGTTTCTGTGACATTTAGAGCATTAAGAACATATGTCTTAGGGGTGAGAGAATGGGGTTTGAGTCCCACCTGTTATTAGCTTTTGTTATCACTGTTACCCAGAATAGCAATGAATTAGGTAAAAGTAAAACATTTATGTGGACTCCAAAAGTCTTTGTTTTTGGAATGCTTAATATTATATGTGAAGTTTGGGGAATTATATGTAGTTGTTCCAACAGTCCAAAGCCATCCCTTCTCCTATTGGTAGTGATATTTTTATACATGGTAGAAGCATAAAATATGTAATTTTGAGTTTAATTCAGCTCAGAATAGATCAGATATAAAGGAGTTTTTGTTCCATCGAGAAGTTGAAATACTTCATTTTAACTCTTTGGGAATTTTCTGTAAGAACAATTAGTAGATAATGATATAGCAGTTTGGGTTATATGAAGTGTATATGTTTCTCTGCTCTTAGAGTTTCTCTAAAATTTGTGGACTAAAACTTTGGCACATCCAGTACTTAAACTTTGGAGCCCTCTTTGTGACTCACTGGTGGTCAGACCATCTCAGTGACAAGTATAAGCAAACTGGCTTGCATTCCTGACCATTCCTTTTTGCATTCCTTTGGACAGCAAACCATTCCTTAGAGTCTGTGTTCACTCTGACATCATGTTTTCCTTTATATTTCAACTAGTGAAACGTGTTCCTGGAGCTTCTGAGTATCCTGTCAAAGACTTGAGTACCCCTCCAGATTCTTCAGGAGGTGGAGGAAATGTTGGGCCTGCAGCTAGCCCTGCCAGAAGCAGTGATATGTTGTATCTGGTTGTGGGCTGTGTGCTGGGTGTCATGGTCCTCATTCTTATGGCTTTCATTGCCATGTGCTTGTGGAAGAATCGCCAACAGAATACCATACAGAGTGAGTCATTCATAAGTTTTTCCTTTTCTTTTGCTAAAAATGGGTAGAAAAATATTGTCAGAATAAATATTAATTCCTAACACTTTTATGTATTAGTGTCATGGTGTAAAACACATTAGATGCTCTTCATTCAGAGGAGATGACTTTAAAACTATCCTAGCTGTCAGCCAAAGTAAGTGAAGCATCAAATTAAATTGCCCAGTAGACATAAACACCAAAGCTAAAACTGAGAAGGTCTCTGAATAAATAGCTGACTTAGTGCTGGGAAACTCTAGCTTTGTTGGACCACCAAAGAGGAGGCGTACTTGAAGCTGAGCTCTGAAATTGCAGTAGTGACACCTTCATGCTGATGTAAATCTTGTCAACAGGGAATAGAAAAGCTATGATGAAAAGACAGGTAGTAAAGATTTTTCTAAGTTATTGTCTGAACCTGATGGACCAAGACTGCTCCAGAGTGGCATCCTCTCCCCTAGGTGTGTCTGGTAATAGGTGTGCTTGAACAGTCGAAGGCACTGTTTGGAAACAAATGATCTAGAACCACTTTTCCCATTTCTCTTGCTTCAATCCTCCTCACCTCACCTTCTTGCCTTTCCCATTCTCCATGCTATTATAAAATAGGATAATCAAATCCAATAGGGATTTTAGTCTTTGGTGGGAGGAAGTGTTTTGGTTTCCCCTTTAGCCCTAGTATAGAAGCAAAGGAGGACACTGGCAGTGGCTGTCAGTCAGTCCCTACCTGTGGTCCCTTTTTAGTTAGTAGTTTGGGGGGAAATGATCTATTTTTATAGAATGGTGCCTTCTAAGAGATCGACATGGTGTGAGGTGGTTGGTGGTGTTAGGCTGAAAGGGTTGGGTCTTTTTCCCAATGGTTATAATGCCATTGCCTTAAATTGAGTGACTGTGTGCTGAATCATTAAAAGAAAAGTATTAATCTGATTGAGCAAGATTGATCTGATTAAAGTCATCTTCTTTTATGACCTGATAATATGTTTAAGAATGGAAAATTATCATGGTAGTGTTCAGTCATTCATTCAGAAGATATTCATTGCCTGTCTTCTGTGTGCCAGGCACTATACTGGACAGTGGAGATATAATGACAAGGAAAATAAGCGTGATCTCTGCCCTCTTAAAGGTTATAGTTCTGTGAAGACAAGCAGGTGTACTGACCACACATACCTATACAAGAAAGTACAGGAATAGGAGCAGCTGTGGAGCAGAGGGACACCCACTCTAGTCTTGGAAAGCTCTAATACTTTTGAAGAATTTATCAAAACTCTGATAACAAATCTTGTACAGTTTAGATACAGACTTTCTGAGGGATATTTTACTTTTTCTAAATATATGTGGTAGGTGTGCCTCTGGAAATCAGAATTTTGAGGCAGTTGTTTAAATGCTTTTAATATATGGAAGTAGAATAGTCTTTTGCCTTTGGTACCCCACAATCTCCAAACTGGCTATTCTAAGAAGCTATATGAACAGTCAGTGAATGTATACACAACTCCATCCTTTTACTTAAAAGTGCTGTTTATTGCTATTTAAAATGCCACCTAAAGCTAGTCTTTTGTTGTTGTTTTATACAATTTTTTTCAGCACTTTTAAGTATATGGGAGTTTAAACAGTTTTTCTTAGTGTTGCCAGTACTTTGATAATTTCAGCTTGTTCGATTTGTTCATTCTCTTTTGAGTAATTTCTCCCTGGTTAATTTCTCTTCCCAGTAACAAAGTCATAATTAACTCAAAGTTCATAGCTACCTCCACATTGTAAAGAAAAAACAGCAGGAGCTCTATTAAAGCATATCTCACAAGTAGGCTTTGAGTGAACATTTTCTAAATGTTTTATTTTAGTCTATTTATAGTTTCTTAGAGTTTCCATTAATAAAACTTCCTAAGCAAGAAGATTGGCCTTTTCAGTATTTTACTTTTTGTGTGTGTGTCTTTGTTTGTTTGTTTGTTCTCTTTTATCAGAATATGACCCACCGGGATATCTCTGTCAAGGGTCAGATATTAATGGTCAGATGGTGGAATACACCACTCTCTCGGGAGCAAACCGGATAAATGGAAATGGTCATGGAGGCTTCCTGAGCAACAGTGGTCTCAGCAGTGGCTGCTCACACCTGCACCGGAATGTCACGAGTGGAATCAATGGAGTCGTGAACACAAGCTTAACTGTAGGACTTTACTCAGGGCACAGCAGCTCTCTAACCAGGACACATGTGGATTTTGAACATCCTCATCACTTAGTAAATGTAAGAGACCTAATTGTAAGTGAATGCCTCTCTGTGCCTCAGGGTGCCGGTATAGAAGAACAGGCCAGCATACTGGGGTTTTTCATGATAGAAACTTCACTGAGCACCTGAATGCAATAGTACATATCACTCACTTGATGCAGAATAATCTTTGTAAGTTTTCTATTGTCAGGTAATAGTTATATTCACCAATTTAGTTTTTGCTATAAAATTACTAACACTGAAAGTGCAATACCAGTAAAGAACAGACTGGAAGTTGTTCTTGAGATGAAACAGAAACACCATTAGGCATAGACGAGACCAAATACTTTAAATGTGATTTATTTGGAACAGAGTCTGAAAACTCAGCTGCCCAAGAAGAGTCAGTCAGGCAGATCAGGAAATAGAGCGCATCAAGTTGGGAAAGAGATGCAGTAGCAGCCTGGAGAAACACCACTGTCTTCATAAGCAACTGCAATTCAGCACCTACTGTTTTTATCTTGGCAGGGCCAAAGGCCTAGTGTTGCCAGATTTTCTGATTCTTCAAAACATCTGTAAATCTAGATGATGTCTCCATATTTTTACTACCGACACCTAGTTCAAATTTTGAAAGCATTGTATAGGCCATGCAAAACATTTCTGCAGGCGGCCATATTGAGACTTCTGACCTGCCATGGATTGCTTTTGTTCATTTTGCTCAATGTATTTTGTTTGTGTGGCCTGTAAGCTTTTTGTATTTTACAATATTAGTATTCTTTAGCCACTATAAGTGACTTAAGACCCTTAAAATGACCTTATTTCAGAGTTAACTAGCTGATATAGTTTAATTTTTGAAATGGGAATAGAGTGATTAAGCATATTTTGGACATGCTGGTTAAAGGGGAGTTTGATTTATTACATTATTTGGGTGTACATTCACAGTATTTTTGATCAAAGGGATAATTTGGTTGGTTGATCAAATTAAACATTCATTTAGTTTTTATCATTGTTCTGATTATAGATAAATTTGCTATAACCCACAATGTGCTACAATTTGAAGAAGTTTAAGAGTTTTTCTTCATCTTCAATTTTAATAGGGATTTATTAAAATAATTACAACTAGAGAATAAAACTTTAATATATATTTGCATCTTAAAGCTAGAAATCTAATGGTTTTATGTGACTTAGCTTTCGTATGTTGTAGAAAAAACATTTAATTTGCTTTAGTGCGTCTCATTACCAAAAGAGAATCATGATTTCATTATTTTGTGTGGAAAGACATGGCTTATATTCAGCCTTTTTTTTTTTTTTTTTATATTCAGCCTTTTTAAACTTGTTTTTATTACCATTCCTACTCCAAACTACTAACGTTGTTAAGTAAACCGAAGGAGTGGGCACTGAATAGCACATGCTGTTTCCATAGGAACTAAAAATAAAGCTAATGTTTACTTTAATATTTGAACATGGAACTTTGGTTTGTTGTTGTTTTTTTTTTAACAATTAATTACCATTTAAATTATAGTTGCTCCATTAGGTGTACTGTTTAGAAATTGTCAGTTGTGATTCCAACCCATTTGGTTTTTTTACTCTTCTTTTCTGGGTGGAGGAAATGGAGAAATTTAAAAAAATGTTAGTGATCATAAAAATCATTGATTTAAGTTTAATATGTTTAGTAATTTAAATAAGCATGTTCCCCTACAGGTTGTCAACTTCATTTTCTGAATGTTTAGAGTTTGCCCTCATGGACTGCATGTATTTTTTCTCTCAATGTTTTCTTAGTAATTCCTGTTTCTAGTTGGATCAGGAATGCTGAGGGGAATTTTTGGTACTTTTGGTTTGCTTAGAGTCTGGCTGTTGTCATGAGATGAATAGAAATGGAAAGTATTCTAGGAAAAACAACTGCCTGAACTTTTCCTAACCTTGAAGGCCTGCTTTGGGTTTGGGTACACTGTGACAACCACTCCCACCCTTATCAAATTTGGTTCTGCTGTTTTTCATCTAGAAGCAGAATTCTGGCTCTATTAGGCTAGTTTAATTTTTCACTTCATTTGTTCAGAACTCTTGCCGTTGTATATGTCAAGTGAGCATTTTACAATGAGGTATGTGTTAATCTGGGCATTTTTCGTAATTGCTGGGTAGTTTCCGCCAAAAGCAACATCAAAATATTAGTACACCCCTCCAAGTCATTGCTGGCTGAGGATCTACCCCATCTGGAAAAATATAACATGTTTTAAAACTTAGTGTAGTCCAGTGAACAGACCTGATCGAAATAATTATAGGACAATGAAGATGAGTTTATCATATGGCATCATTCAGACAGATTTTACTCCGTTTCTCCAGCTGGCATCACGTGACATTCTCCGGTGACTGCTAGAAAAGCACAGATGAACAGGAGGTTGCAATGTGTGGTGTATTTGGGGTCCACTAGATTTGAAACTAATTTTGGGCCCACTAGATTAGAAGGGAAGTGACTAAACTTTTCCCTTCATTTATTTGCCTCTGTTCAGTACATAATAGAGAAAAACATGGAAAAACATGGCAGTTAAGTTTTTGGAATACCGTTTAATATTGTGCACAGCTCTGAGGAGACCCGCGTGTGAATATGGGCAAACCGTGTTCGGCATGGCCTTGCTGCGCCGTTTGCGGTGGTTTGGCCGCTGGTCTGTGGCACCCTCAGCACTCTTCCTTGTTTTCTTTTTTCCTGCCCCTCCTTCCCATGAAGGGTGGCGGAGCGTGGGCTGCAGCACCTCGGATCGACCCCCTGGAGTGTGCTAACTGTCGAAACTGCCGAAACAACAACAGGTAGGTGGATACGTGTTTGCACAAGTTGTTGCAAATGAAGCATGTGCGTCCTTTTACTTTTTTCCTTCAGCAAAGGAAGTTCTTGTAATTTTACCCATGATATAAAGCTCAGAATTTGCAGTCTTAAGTTTAAGGTGTTACTGGTTTTTTTGCCCCTGCTTTATAATATGTATCTTTTTGTGCCTCACTTTCTTTAGCTATATAGTGACGATAGTAAAGATTTTGTTTCTCACTGACTTCAGTGAGAAAGTTGTTAAAAGGTTTGATGTTTTCAAAAATTTTAAATTAGAATCATTCTCTACAGATAGACTTTTATCTCTTTTCACCTGTTATTTTCTACCCTACGTTATGAGAATGAATGAGACCATGTATGAGGGTTAGAGGAAAAAAAAACCCTATGTATCTAGTAATATTTTTTCATAGTATTAATTATTACTGATATTTTTCTACCAAATTATGCATTGATTTTTTTAACTCTTAAAATCTAAGATAATTAAGTAGCCAAATCTTGCTTTTAATTTTGTTTTTTAATTTGAAAAGTGATATGTGCTCACAATATTTCAAACATGATAGAAATATGTAGAATAATATGTACATTTAAATTTTGACAGATAAAATATTCAAAAAGTTTTCATGCTACCAAAGGATTATCAAGCTTTTCATTATGTTAACTTTGTACCAGACATTGTCTTTCTTTTACATAATGATTGCATTGGATTACATGGTCCTTCTCAGTTCTAAAACTCTACAACGAGACTGGGTGTCATGGCTCACACTTGTAATCCCTAGCACTTTGGGAGGCCAAGGCGGGAGGATTGCTTGAGGCCAGGAATTAGAGACCAACCTGAGCAATATAGTGAGACTCTGTTTCTACAAAAAATAGAAAAATCAGCTGGGGTGATGGCACGTACTTGTAGTCCCAGCTACTTGGGAGGCTGAGGCAGGAGTATCACTTGAGCCCAGTTTGCAGAGAACTATGATGACACCACTGTACTTCAGCCCATGCAGCAAGGTGAGATCTTGTCCCCCCAAAAAACCTCTACAACTAAAATATTTGTATTACAGTTAGTATTATAAAATAACTAGAGTGTGGATTGGAGTTTGGATTTCATTATTGAAATGGGATTTGATCTATATTTTTTTAAATGACTTAAAAGGTTAAGGGTTGTCTCTGGGATATTGAAATCAGAATGTGGAGGAAGATCTGGTCAATTATAGAATTAAATAAGGTACATTGTTTCGACCTGTGTTTTGAGAGTTGCAGAACAAAAGATAGGGCTTTTTGGTTATCATTTACTTACCCATTTTAGGGTTTCTTCTTTACTAGCAAGAGCCATCTGCCTATTTTATGTACTGAGATTTACTGGTTACATATTTAAATTCTCTATGACTCTAGTTTTGAAAATGTTCATAATTGTTCATAACATTGAAGCCATGTTTTTGTTCTGAGCTTGTTATAGACTTTACCACAATTTGTTAGGAAACATGCTGAAGAACTGGTAAAGATATATTCCTGGTAAAGAGTCAAATGGATTTTTTTTTTTTTTTTGAGACAGAGTCTCACTCTGTTGCCCTGGCTAGAGTGAGTGCCATGGCGTCAGCCTAGCTCACAGCAACCTCAAACTCCTGGGCTCAAGCAATCCTCCTGCCTCAGCCTCCCGAGTAGCTGGGACTACAGGCATGCGCCACCATGCCCGGCTAATTTTTTCTGTATGTATTACTTGGCCAATTAATTTCTTCCTATTTATAGTAGAGACGGGGTCTCGCTCTTGCTTAGGCTGGTTTCGAACTCCTGACCTCGAGCAATCTGCCCGCCTCGGCCTCCCAGAGTGCTAGGATTACAGGCGTGAGCCACTGCGCCCGGCCTTCAAATGGATTTAATTATGAATAGTTTTGCCTAAATATAAATGTGTTTTCCTTTATGGCCCTTGTGGCCATCAGCAAATTTTGACTCTCCCTAGATATTAGAATGGTATAACATAATAAGAAAGCTTCTGGTCTAAGAATAAGTAGACCTGGACTTTGCCACTGCTTAAACCTGTGATCTTGTGAAAGTTATATAATGTTTCCTTAACTGAAAAATGGAAGATTGTCCTAAGTAATATAAGATTGTTGCCAACATAATCTGATTGTAGACTTTGGTAATTTTCTACCAATCATGTCTTTATGATGAGTACAAAAAATAAATTTCATTTCTTTAAAAAGATTTAAATGACCTCTGCCATTCAAATAACCTTGCATTCTTGGCCATTTGTATGTCTGAGTAAGTTTGTATCAGTGTGTCATATTTAAAGATTTTTATTACACATAGCTTTTTCCTTTAAGGCAATGGACAATTGTATTTCTATGAATTTTCAAGTTCATGACTTCCTGCGTTTCATGTTTGCAAGTTTTACTGTTATCTGAGAATTTAGGTGAACTTTGTTCAGCTTGGGAAAACCAGCTTCTTTTTCTCCTTAGTTTAAATTTTCTTCCTGAGAATCTACCTGTTTAGAGCAGGTCTTTACTTGCCTTCCAAGGTTGTTCAGATGTCTCACCTGGCACCCAGGAGCAGTTGTATGATTTTGACACTTAGTAGTTGGATAGATAAATATGAATAAGTACCTACCTTCAACTGTGGAAATTAGAATCATTAAATTTCAAGTATCTCTTTTAACTTTGACACTGAGAGCCGATATCTCCTCTCAAGGCCCTACAAGGTGGCAAAATGTGTAATAACCTTTGAATGCTGAGAGATAGATGATGTATGATTTACTCTGAGAATATGCAAAAACTGTAGTCAATTTATACTTTTAGAATTTTAACATTATTACTAGGAATAAGTTTGCATTTCCCAATGCATGATTTCGGTGAAGTTACACGAGGGCAGTCAAGTAGGCATTGTAAAGTTTTTGACTATTCAGTCGAAAAACCATATACTGAACACTAGCTAGGCACTGGAATAGGTTCTGAAGTGTTTCCAGGTAGAAGGAATTACAAGAACAGTATGGAAGTAGGAAGGATAATGTTTAAGAATAAATAATCGAATTCAGTGGTTCTCAAACTTTAGCATGCATTAGAATTTGTAAAAACACAAATTGCTAGGCTGTGCTCCCAGAGTTTCTGATTCAGCAGGTCTGGGTTGGGGCCTGAGAACTTGCATTTCTAATGAGTTCCCACATGAAGCTGATGCTGGTCCTGGGACCATGCTGTGAGAACCACTAGAATAATTTGACTAGCTGGTGAAGTGCAGGCGGAGAATAGTAGGATATAAAACTGGAAAACAGGTCTAAGTTTATATTATGGGTAACCCTAAATGTCAGGATTTAGTACTTTATCTAATAAACATTTATTATTGAGCACCTAACACATGCTAGGTACTGGCCCAAGCCCTGTCTTCAGAGATCTTACAGTCTAATAATAGTGATTCCTAGACAGAACTAGTGATGTAGTGAGTAAAGTTTGAAGATGCACATTGAATCTTATAATTTTACGTTTATTTAAAGAATAAAAAAAATCTCTTCTGTAATATAAAATACAGAAGGATATGAGTTTTTACATCAATCAAAAGGGTATATGGACTAAATGTTGAGAAATACTGAGCTAGTAGCATCATAATTTTTGTGATGCTTTTTTTTTTTTTTTGAGACAGAGTCTTGCTCCATTGCCCTGAGTCGAGTGCTGTGGTGTCAGCCTAGCTCACAGCAACCTCTAATTCCTTGGCTCAAGCGATCCTCCTGCCTCAGCCTCCCAAGTAGGTAGGACTAGTAGCACACCATGACACCTGGCTAATTTTTCTATTTTTAGTAGAGACAGGGGTCTCGCTCTTGCTCAGGCCGGTATCAAACTCCTGAGCTCAAGCAAATCCTCCTGTCTCTGCCTCCCAGAGTGCTAGGATTATAGGCATGAGCCACTACACTCAGCCTCTTGTGAAGCTTTTTGAGAAGGGGAGTGATCTGTTCAGTGATATGATTTGGTGTGATGAGTGGCGGTGGTGCACAGGGAGCACTGGAGTGAGATCACTTAGACATTGCTGTGACACACAGGGAATGGGGATGGAGAGGAAGAGATGCTTGGCCATCAACTGAGAGGGATCTAGATAGAAAGGAGATTCCAAACGCATAGAAAGTTTCAAATATGGATGACCAGGGTGGAAATATAAGAAACTTAATAAAATGATACATCGAGAAAAGATAATGACTTTGATTTGGGGCATTTAAAGTTCAAGTACCAGTTGCTATGTGAGTCAAGGAGACAGATGAAAATGCTGGTCTTGGGTTCAGGGGTAGACTGGGACCAGATTTAGGACCATATATCTCTAAGTGATGGCTCTTGAAAGTAGGTGCGATCACCATGGAAGATAATAGTCTTAGCTGATTATCTTTATTAATATATGTTTAATTGTTTGAGGTATTTATTTGCTTTTATTTCTTATATATTTAAAGTGATTAGACATTCTTTTTATAAGATGTCATCTCTGTTATTTTTTGCTTCCTTCCTTGCTGTATCTTCCAAGAATCATATAGATGGGAAGGAGAGTAAAAAAGGAAAGTAAGGATTCATTCACTTTTTCATTCACTGGACACTTGAAGATCCCTAGTGGGCAAGTGCAAGCAAGGTGCTGAGGACGTCGTCAGTAGGGAGCACAGCAGGCATTGCCCTGCCCGCTTGAAGCTTAGAGTCTACTAAGGGAGACATACTATTTTTAAAAATGACATAAATCATAAAAATGAATATGTAATTAAAATTGGATGCTTTAAAGGAAAAGTAAAGGATGTGTTAGGAAAGACCTCCCCAAGTAAGTGACATTTTGCTGAGTTCTGAAGAATTTATAAAGTTAAGTAAAAGGGAAGTGGATAGGCATAAAGCTTTGCAGGTTTATAAGGCAGAGTACTGGAACCCTCCATCTACTTAAAGAAGGCTAATGCAGTGGAGCCCAGGGAGTGAAAGGCGTCGGAGTGAAGTCAGATCCTACACAGCCATGGGGAGTCCAGGAACATGTTGTGATGGAATTCAGGCTT